TTGCTGAGGGCCCCGCGTAGCTCGCCGGCGGTCCGGGGTAGCTGGCTGACGGGCCGGGGTAGCCCGCCGGTGGGCCCGGGTAGCTCATGGGCGCACCGGGGTACGCCATACCGTTTGCATTGACCGTTGGAAGGAACGGCGCTGGCAAGACGGGCACGGGCGGCACTTGGCGTCGAAGACCGTCCGGCGACATCAAGTTGAGCTTCCGCACGAGCTGGTACTGCTCCGGAATCTCCATGAGGGCGTGGAGCGCAAACTGCGTCTCGCGGCGCGTCGGGTCGGCAACCGGGCGCGTCACCGCATCGAAATCAACAAACTGAAAGTTGTCAAAGCGGCGGCTCGGCACGTTGTCGTCAAAGATGTGCATCATGTCCCACGGCCCGTCGCCGACGCCGACCACCACGATGCTCAGCGGAAAGTTGGACGCGTAGCTAATCGCGTTGAGCGTGTCTTGCTCGTGCTTGGAGAACTGGCCGTTCGGAACGTCGACCGACCGCGTCACTTGACCGTCGGCAATAAGCACGAGGATGTGGTACGCCATGTTGTTTTGCTGCACGATGCGCAGCGCTTGGTAAATCATCGGCGCAAAGGTCGTCGGACCGGCCATCGAGACGTGCGGCACGACGTCACGGTACCTCGCACGCACGTCACCAAGGCGGTAGCCTGGCATCGCGTGTGGCCCCAGCGGCATGAACGAAAAGACGGCAGAGTCGCTCGTCGACTCGTCGCCAAAGCCGTACACCGGGATCGTGTTGTCGTCGTCTAGCAGCATGCCGATGCACTGAGATACAAGGGTCGAAGAACGGTGCTATGTGTACCGTATTCGCAAAGCGTCTTGCTGACAATGTCCATGACCTGTTCGTACGGGTTGCGCTCCGGTAGCTGGATGTCGTGGAGGCAACGGCCGCCAAACGTGCGCTTCCCGTCCACTCGTTCGACTTGGTGACTAGAGAGAGAGCATCAGACACAAGCGCAGGTGCGATAGAGCGGCGAGACACGTACAGTCGATGCCAAGGATGAGGTTGCTGCTCTCGAGGCCCTTCCGGCGCAGGTCTACATTGGTCGTTAGCCCTCGATGGCCGCGGTATGGCTGCGGCCGCGTACCTCGCTTGAGGTCGTTGAGGTTCATGTAGTTGTCCTGGATGCTCTTGGAGCGTTGGATCGCGCCAGGCGGTTGGCGCGTCGGCGTTGACGACGAGCTGCCCATGCTGCTTGCGGTTGTGTCAAATTGAAAACTACCTCGTCAACCGGAAAGTTCTCGTATCGAGTCCAGATGTTCTTGTAACAAGATTTGAAATTTCTCCAGCCAATCACAGGCGCGTATGGGACGGTGGCATGTCACGCAGCGTTCAATGGCCTGTCCACGCTGCAATGACCTCATGGCTTGACCTCGACGTGCTGCAGCTTCCTCCTCTTCCGGCTACAGCCATGGCAATGCAGGCTGATGTTAATAGAGTCGACGATATGGTGCTTGAGAGCGGCAGCAAAGCTACCGGCCCCGCCAACGACCAACGCTCTTCTTTCCTCAACGTCAGAATCCTGGAATCATTGACCCCGAAAACCTGCGACACGAATAAATGATTCCATTCAGGATATTTGAATTGTGTTGTGGACACGGGAAAAAGAGAATGTTTGAAAGAGAGGTTGAATTTAGCGCCACAACTGTCCGACACACTTGTCCTACGCTAATGGATTCACCGTCCACCGCGTGCCCAAGTGTCTTGAAAACCAGTAGCAATGTAGAACCAAATCAAGTATCGGTATACCAGACTCGCACTCCAAGTGACTTGAGCGGCGAGAAGGGCTGTGAGGTGTCGACCGACCCAGTGGGTTGATTCGAATCCGGCAATACTGGAGCAAATCTGTACACTTTGTATTTGTCGCTATTGAAAAATGCCAACTGCGCAAGGGCCCGTCCGCGACTAACTAGGCCGACGGTCGCGGTGCCGCATTGAAGAGCGCGGTGTAGACCAAGCTCATATACGCTGGCGGCGTTGCCGTCTCTGGTCGCTGCACAAAAAGGATGCGCGCGCGAATGTTCATCGCCTCGAGCGTCGATACCGCGTGCTGCATCTCGGCCAGCACTGTCGCGTCGGCGTCGTACACGAGCGTGAGTGTGCGCTCCTATTCGCATCACAGTGTTGGCTTTATCACAACCGGCACTACCCACGACGAGTACCTCGGCGGTGGACGGCACGAGGTCGTTCAGAATCTCGGGCGGGGGCAGCGTCGCCGTTGCCGAGGGCATGAGCACGGCTCGAAAGTAGCCGGGCGTCACGGCCAGCTGCGTCGAGTCGCGCGAACTCAGGTACACGACAAAGCTGCCGTGGACGGGAAGACCGACGTACGCCACATACTGTCGCGACGCGGCGTTTCCATGGCGCCAGTCGCCGGTGGTTGCCAAGTCGGGGAGCACTACATCGTCCGCGGTCGTGTGGACGTAGACGTGGGTACCGCGCTGGACCTTCTCGGCGAGGTAGTGCAGCTGCACCTTCTTGCGCTGAAAGCGCCCGCGGCGCCACTTGCGATAGAGCTCGCGCGGCACCAAGTAGAGCAGAGCCAGCGGGATGCCGACGACAAGGCCAGCCGCCGCGATCGCGCCGCCGGCAAAGACGCCAGCGGTGACTAGCGTCAAGGCAATCGACTGCGTGACGACGCGGATCGGGAGGCATGGGCCCCATTGCGGTGAGGCCGAGATGGCGGCAAGGTGGCAGTAGCGTTGCGCCCTAGTGGGTAGAAAACAATCAGACAAGTTGTACAGTGTGCACTCGTCCTACATCCAGTTGTTGTGCGTCCGCCACGTAATGTTGCACGTCCAGCACCACTCGTGGCGGCATTTCTGGCACGTCATGTGCTGGCATCTATCGCGTCATGAGGCGATGGAACGACGATGTCGGCACGCACCCGTCGTTCTTCCAGATGCGGTAGCCGCAGCTCGGGCATGGCGCGACAGCTTTCGTGCTTGACGAAGCATTTGTCGCCTTTTCCCATGCCACGTACATGCTGTCCAGCGCCTACAGCCACGTCGCTTCGAACCCAAGAAGGCATTTGTTGAGTAGTACTTGGCTGCAGGTCCGAAACGGATGCGACGCGTTGCCGCATTTGAAGCAGCCTCTCGCGCTGCACTTGTGGCACACAAACGTCTTCTCACTCGGATCGCACTCGATCGCAATGTTGCACTTTGGATTGGGGCAGTGGCGGCCGTGCGGCAGCTTCTCAAACTACCGCACAAGGTCTGAAGATGCCGAAGCGATCGCAGTGATACCTCGATCGACGCTGTAAAGTGCAAGTACTTGAGAAACACGGCTTCGGTCGTCGTGCGAAGAATGTCCATTGCGTCCAACGCCCGGCGGCAATCCAGGACGGGACACGTGAGCTGCGTCCCTTGCACCTCGCGCGTGTCGATCTTGGAGGCTACGTAGGCTTGGATGCAACCTATCGCAATCCATCATGACGCTGTGGGAAGTGTCGACCGCCGCACCTTTGCAGTAGGCGTGACCGCAACTCAAGGCCACTTGCGCTGTTTCAGGCACCTCAATCGGCTCGGTCGCGACCGCGGATGGCATAGCTTCGAGGCAAATGCAGCAGCACTCGGCGCGGACCTCGGGCTCGGTCGAGGGCTCGGCCGCAACTATGGCGTCATCGTCGTCGTGCGATGATGGCAGGTCCTTGAAGGCTGCAAGGATGAGCATGAGCTCACCATGGAGCATTGCGCGGCTGGTCGCGGTCAAGGTCATAATGCAAAAATGGCTCGCAATGGCAATGTCGAACTCTAGATATTCGATTTTCGCGATCCGATTGGGATCCACCAATCCGCGTGCACTTTCGACAAATCTAGCCAATCCGGTCGCGTGGACGACCGGCCGACCCAATCCGGTTGCCCCACGCATTTTGACCCGCATCGCACGAGGCCGTGGTTTCGACGTGCGCGACGAGGTCCTAATTGTCGGTACAGAGCCGCGATGTGGGTGTGATAGATCCCTACCATACATCATGCACGCATATCTGCTTGATCGGATCAGGTGCAAGAAGCAAGGCAAGAGAACGGGCAAGTGCCTGTGGAAATGGACTTGCCGCCAACTGCGTGCGTCTGTCGAAACGCTCGCGCAAGCTCTTGGTCGCTCGGTCACTCGAGTGGCGGTCGGTTCCGATCACCCAGAAAATAGCTTCGTCCAACGCCTAGTGGCTGCAAACCGGGTAGTTATAGTGGTTGCTCCAAAGACTCGACAGGTCGGGTGCCTCTGCAGCCGTCTCGTAGGCAGTGCTGTCTCGTAGGCGCATGCTCCTGCCGTCGGTCGCAGAAGCCATGCGCATTTGTTCAAAATGGCATTTTCAATGAAAGGATTTCGCAGAGTATTGGACGCCACAGCTGTCTCCCAAGGCTGTCTCCCGCTCTTCGCACCATGACTCAAATGTTGAAGTCGCAACAGCTCGTTGCACTTCGCACCTCTCGAGTGCTCTCGTCGTCGATCTTGAAGCCTCGGCGCGCCTTCCGCATCAGCACGTGGCGGCGCTCAATCCCCTCGTTCTATTATACGCGCTCGCTATGGTACCGGTACCTGCAGCGGCCGGTTGCTGTTGCGTACGATGTACAACCAGCTGCCGACGTCCATGGCCTCTACAAGGACGACACTGTAGCATGATTCCATGTGGTCCCCGACCCTCGCACCTGGCGCTTCTACTCTTCGCGTTGCCGCGGCCGTGGACGAGCCCGTCTCGGTCGACGACGACGAGCGTCGCCTTTCTCTGCAGGTGCACCCTAGCGCGGCTTTGGCACGGGCGCCGGCCTATCCAATCGCAATGCAACCCGCCCATTACAGTAGCCGAGATAGCCAGACCGTGACACGCGCGGCCAAAAAACAGGCCACTATGAGCCGACCTGATCCCCACTTGACAACCTGCTGCGAAGATGACGCCGATCGCAATGCGCCGGCGTAGCCCGAATGCCGCGACGGCGCCGCTGAAAGAGTCGCTCCCGACCAAGTACGACTCGTTTTTTACCAAGACGACGTCGTCCGTCTCGGACACGGCGCCCGCGTCGCCGGCGCTGTACCCGCCGCTCAAGCCGCGAGGCATGTCAGTGCCGCAGGTGACCCTCACGACGACCGGGCCCAAGCCACGGACGCTCACGGTCGACCTCGAGCGACCACCGCTGCCACTGCCCAATGTCGCCGTCGACTTTAATTTTCAGAGCATTTTCCATCGCATCCAAGAGTGCGTGCACAAGATCCAAGACATCAAGAAGGACCTCGAGGACGAGACGACCCGCCATCGATACTAATTTTTGACCGAGTCGCTCGCTTGACTAAATACTACGGTCAACACGTCATATTTATCATCACGCCGTGCTTAACCTCGTCGTCGTCTTATATGCAGCTTGTATGGTACGGGAGCCCCGTCGCGTAGTCACGGAAGGTCGGGGGCACGAAGGCGCTGTCCGACGCGTTCTTGGCCCTACAGACGCCGGCTCAGAGGTCAGGAGGCAAGATAAATCGTACAAGATCTTCTTGCAAGCCATGCACGGTGTGTTGTAGAGCTTTTCGTAGTTGGCGAGCCAGCTCTACACCGATCCCATAAGAACTCAGTGTCCCGATGCATGCGACGAACGAAAAAATGGTAAAAGCTCGTCTCGGGGTGGTGCACGCGGAAGTAGTGCAGCGCCTAGCCGCCAAATGTAAGCTCGTCGAATGGTAAGGACGACAGGAGACAGCAAAGCAGACCTTGCGGGCATGCAGCGTGATCTGCTCAAAGACGCCGTGCTTGGAACTGGACCAGGCGCCAAGCGGCGCGTCTTCGTTGGGCGGGAGGATGCTCACACGGTCAATGTACTTGGTCACTTGGAGCCCCGCGGCTTTGGCGAGCTCCTGCTCCTTGCCCGTTTCCTTGGCGTCAATGATGAGCTTACGCAGCTCTTCTTGCTCTACACACGGTATAAGTCGCCGAGCACGAAGCGAGAATCGCCGACCGATCTTGGTCGCTTCCTCGGCCGCCATCTTGGCCTTGGTCATCATGTCGTCGCGCCGAGGCTTCTTGGCGACGATCTTCTTGGCTTTGAGCTTGGCCGCGCGCGTCGCTCGGCTGCGGTGGTACGCGGGCGAGTTGGGCGTCGACGGCGTCATCGGGCTCGCAGCAACCCCCGACTCGCCGTTCGGTCCGCCCTCGGGAATCGCCGGGCAAAAGCTCATGTAGACCATCATTTCCTTGTTGACTTCGCATGAGATGGACTTGATGACACGCCGGCCACCGCGGGTGGTCTCGGTGTGCTTCCAAAACTTGATGCTCTTGTTGCGACGCATGATGTAGTCCATCATCTCGTTCAGGTCCACGGGCTGCACGTCGCCTTGCTCGTCAAAGACGAGCATGCGGGCGCGCTTTGTAGGCTTGGGCACAAAGCGCTCGTTGACCTGCAAAAAAACACATGTCGATCGGTGCGCGTGACGTGATGCGTGGAGGAAACGCACCGTCATGACCGCCTTGACCTTCTCCGTGTGGCCACCGCCCGGCTGCAAGGACGCGCCGGGCGCAGCGACGTACTCCATGCGCGGGAACCACTCGGTCATTTGCGCGAGCCACACGTTGGCGCCTTTCCCCGCCATTTCATGGATCTACCATGCAGGCACATAGCCTAGGATTGGGTCCTCGCCATGGATGGCCAGGTACCTGCGTCTTCCAGTAGTACTCGAGCATGAGGTTGCGCTGCGTCTGCGAGACAGCGTCGATGTTCTTCGTCTTGTCCTCAAACTCGGGGCTAAACTTGCGCAAAACGTTGAGGTTGGTCTGGACGCGGTCGAGACGGTTCTTGAGCGTCGTGGTCGCGACCGACAAGGACGCCGGGTCCTCGTCCTTGGCGCCAGAGCCGCCTCCATGGAGCGAGCTCAGCTCCACCATGAGCGCTTCCGTCGCAGCGCGGAGCGCGCCCACGCGGCCGCCCAGGATGTCTGCGAGGCCGATCGGGTCGCTCATGGCCGCTGCCTTGCCTGGTGCAAAGAAATTCGGGCAATTGCACAAAAGGAGCCAATCCAGCATCTTTCAACGCCTTCATTTCAACCAATGACATGCCGATATGATAATCGATTTCGGCCAATCGCGGCGGCTGTCGTTTTGGATGTTTATCACTTGGCACAAATCTCATTTTGCCATGAACCGCTACACTGCTGCCTACTACTGTAGTACACTGCAGCAAGCAGTGCATAAGGCGGTCCTAGAGCTTGCTGTTGCCCGTGGACGCGGCGCCAATCTGGCCGCCATCGACAGTGAGCACGGTCCCGGTCACCCACGCGCCCGCCGGCGACGCTAATGTCGCAATGCATCATCACTCGGGCATGGACTCTATCTGTGACGCACCATAGTAGATGGCGGCACCCGCCATATCGAGGTCGCTGCCCGGACGCTTGAGCGGCACGCCTTGCGCGAGCTCGTCCATGCTACAGCCGACGACATCAGGAATCGCAGCCGCCAAGGTGCGTACCCAAGGCCGGTGGCATTCGAGATTTGCTTGGACATCTTTGTGGGCACCAGCCCCGGTGCGATCGCGTTCACGGTAATCCCGCGCGGAGCGAGTTCGAGCGCCAAGACGCGTGTGAGGTGGTGGATCGCAGCCTTGCTCGTGTCGTACGCAAACGTGCCAATGCCGGGCTGCGGCAGCACGCCAGCGATCGAGCCAATATTGATGATGCGGCTGTTGGTCTCCATCATCGGCAAGAGCTTCTTGATGAGGAAGAAGGGCGCCTTGACGTTCAAGTCCATGATCTTGTGCCACGCCTTCTCCGTGTGCAAGTCAAACCCGCCGCCCCAGCTCGCACCCTAGTCGCGTCAACGTCGGATATGCAAGAAGATCGCCCACCGAGTTGTTGATGAGGACGTCCAGCTTGGCTTCTTTGGCTTGGAGGGACGACACGACGTGCTCGATGCCGGCATCCGTGCCGAGGTCGGCGGGGATCTACGGCCGCCACATTGCGCATCCCTGCGTGCAGCCTATCAATCTACCGCAATGCACTGGCCAGGACCTAGAGACACATCGTCATGCAGCGCCACACACGAGCACGGCAGCGTACCGACGGCCGTGAGCTCCGCGGCGGTTTGATCGCAGACCTTGGCGTCGCGCGACGAGATGTACACCTTGGCGTGGTTGCGCACAAACGCCTCGGCGATCATCTTGCCAATGCCGCGCGATCCGCCCGTGATGAGCACCTACACTGCGCTGCTAGCATGGCCCATGTGCGGGCGACGTACTGTCTGGTCCTTGACGGCGAAGAGCTTCGTGACCTCCATGCTGCGATTTGGAATTTGGCATGACGCAAGTACCAAGAAAGCTGCGATTAACTAATCACGCTGCTGTCACGACGTGGGATTGGTGCAATCAAGATCGATTTTTATCCAATCGACAGGCACCACAAAAAAAAAGTTTGGAAATTTTCTAATCCCAAGCGAGACCTGGTCCGAAGAAGCGGAGGGGCTTCTGCCTTGAATCACAGAACGCTAATAAAAGCACCAAGACGACCTGGTGGTCTTTGTGTGCATGGATCAACGCCCGAGGCTGCTCGGTAAATGATGCACCGGTGGTCTTGGCCGTACTGTAAGATGCTTCGCTGGGAATTCCTGTTGTCGGATCCCGTTGAAGTTGGCGCTGTGCAACATTTTCTACCAATCACCGTCGTTCTTGCGTTGGATTGGCTGAAAAGGTGGTCAGCAGGTTGGCCAATGGCCTTGCGCGACGACTACGAACTGCGATGATGGGCACGGAGGCCGGCTCGGATGGCCGATACCTGCCGCTCGGGCTGCCGGCAGTCCCTCCCAGCAACGATCCGCAGCGGCTCCTCGCGTATGTGCTTCAAGTTCTGCCGCAGTACACGGCGATGGAGCTCAGCGCGACGCACTACCGCCTCTACACGCAGCAGCTGCGGACCGAAGTCGACCGATGGAAGCAGCAGGCGACCGTGACAATGCAGCGCTTGCTCGACGAGGAAGACAAGCGCGTCTTTATGGAGCGGTATGCTGCCGAGGTCGTCAAGGAGCGCAACGATGTCTTGCACCACAAGGGTGCCAAGAAGCACAAGGTATGGCACAACTGCTGTCGGCAGCACGCATCGTACGACTTGGACGTGACGCCCTCGATCGTGTCGCTTCGCGGCGAGAAGCTCACGGAGTGCAGCCTCGAGCTCAAGCAAGCGCGCGCATCGCTACTCGAAAAGGATCGGCTACTTGATGCCGCCCACGAGCTCCTCAACACCAAGCAAATCGACTTTGACGCGTTCGTCAGCGCCGCGCGCAAGGAAAAGGAGCAGCTCGAGCACCAGCTTGCGACACGCGCGGGGCTCCAAGGCTCGCAGGAGCGCCGCCTCGCTGAAGTCGAGCGGCAGTTGTGGGACGATCAGCAGGCGCTGGCCGAGAAGAACGCTGGTCTTGACCAGCTCCACGATCGCATCGATGACTTGGAGCAGCAGTGCAGTCGCCTCCAGAACGACGTCGTCGCCAAAGCCACTGCAATCTCGGGTCTCGAAGCCGAGTTGCGTCGTTTCCAGTCGACGCTCCGCGATACGCAAGAGCAGCTCGTGACGTGGCAGCAGCACGTGCAAGAAAAGGACATGGAAATCGAGTCCCTCCACGGCCAAGTCGAAGCGCTCTCGACGGCTGACTTGCAGTCGCTCCAGGCCCGCTATGCCAAGCAGATTGAGACGCTCGTCGCACAGCACGAGGCCCAGATTCGCGCGTACGAAATGCAGCTGCGTCCACAACCCGCGCAGGAGCCGCGGTCCATGTCGCATAGCTTTGAAGCGCGCATGACCCTTGACGAGATTTCGTCGTCAGCCGAAGACACCGATGACAAACCGCTTCTGAGTCCATCGTATTTTCAATCGCACAACTCGAGCCCGTTCCAGACACCGCGCCGGCAGACGCCGCTGCCAGCGCACTTTCGGCGGCACTCGGAAGGCACGCGGTCGTCGACACCGCCCAACGTCCGCCGACGACTTCTGGACAACGACGTGTCGATGCTCTCGTCGTCTTCGGCCGCTTCGTCTAAAGCGTCGCAACGTCCTTCGTCGCGCACGCCCGATCGCCAAGCCATTGTGAGTCGGCTGCATGCGCTCGTGCAAGAGAGCGAAGAGCGGCGAAAGCTCGAAGAGTCCCGCGCCGAAGAAGATCGCGTCGCCCTCGAAGCACTCAAGCAGCGATTACAGGCGCGACAGACTGTGTAATCGTGTAGTACTAAACTACTATGTACAAACCGTCGATCAAATCAAGGACATCAAGCCCCTTGACAACCCAGGTAATAGCAGAAGAAAGAGTATTGTACAACGTTAGATTAGTGCTCCTCGTCGGGCGACAGGATTTGGAGGAGCTTGCGGGGCGGTTGCTTGGTGAGGTACGCAGTTTGGGCCCCCTTTGTGCAAAATATTTTGTGGCCGTAGAGTTTTTGAATGTACGCGTTGAGGAGGGCCGTCTTCTTGGGGTCCTGGAGCGCCTTGTTGACGCCGGCCAAGATCTTTTTTGCGCAATCGACGTGGCGTCGTAGACGCTGAACGACTTGCCGAGGACCGACATGACAATGTTAAGCGACCCGTCAATCGTGGCTTTCGAAAGCGCGAGGTTTTGGATGTACGGATACGTCTCGCTGCACGTGGCGTCAAGGCCGAGCGTGATGGTTTTGCGACCGCCACAGCACGTGCTCGCATTGTCCAAGAACGTTTTGCAGCCGATTTTCGGGATGCAGCCGTCGATGAGGAGACTAATGGGAAGCTCGTCGACGCTGACGCGCACATCGACGTGCATCGAGCCGTTCTTGCCAACGAGAAGCTGCAGTGTGTCGATCTGCACTGTGTTGAGCCCCGAGACCCAGCGAGCTTTCACATCGTAAAAGTTGGCCTTGACAGCAAAGAGGTCGCCAATCTCCATGCACGGCTCGGGCCCGCCGCTGGCACACGCCCCGAGGGACGCAGGGAGCGCGGTACCGGCGACACTCGACAAAATCGGCTTGAGCGACTGTACGACCGTCGCAAGCTCCATCGGTAAGACCGGCGGCGTTGGCGTCGCCACGACGCTGCAAAGACCCACAAGTGAAGCTAGAGAGAAGAGCCGCATGCGATCGAGAGCGTGTCAAACAAGAAATGAGAAGCGAGAGAGGATGTGCTCATTAGAGCGTGAGTAGCACCCAATCGCTCCGAGGCGATGGACAAAGACCCAAAAGATCCCAGTCGTCACGCTGAATGTGCATACGGTTGTCTGCTGTCTATACATTGACGAGCTAACGATGGACTGCAAAAACAAGAAAGTGCCTGCCGTCCCACATTACATCAGACGTGCGGGTGTACTCAACGTTGGCTCTTGAAGGCGGCAACCGCCGCGGGCCAAGGCCACTCGTAGGCAACGTCACCATTGATCTTGGACAAGAAAGGGCTAAAATGTAATGCATGTAAGGTGGATGGGGCTCAAACGTCTTGGGTCACCACGGGATGCACGTGAGCACGTGTGTGTGCGTCTCCGCCAGATCCAGTGGTGGACTGGTTCTGCGCACCATAGGGCTAGGGCTACGCTAGTTCATTGCATTACCGATTCCAACAGCAGGGTCCATAGCAAGGTCATGACGACATCGATTCAACTCGACATATGATACTGTACGCATTCACTGCTTGGGTGTGCTGACAAAAGCTCCAATGGAGGTTGTACCTTGCTTTGCCCTCGCAGTGGATGTACAAGGAGTCCTCACGCGATGCATCGCTTCCAAACCCAGAGATACTTCCTGATACAAGTATTAAGATCAGTGTCAGACCCATAGTGGTAGAAAACTTTATGGCATGCGAGGCGGATGGTCTAGATGTCAACAAAAGTTCGCGACAGTGTGCACGATCCGTCGATTTCGCAGAATACTTCACAGCAAAACAAATTACCTTCTATTTTGCCTTACTGGTAACCTCACCTAATCGACTTTTACACCTCACCAGTCGTTTTGAGCCTTCAATGACACGCTGCCTTGTACAGTTAGCGACTTGTTCCCGCTTGTCCTTTTCGTGCTTCAAAACGCTTTCGTTCAGCGTCACATCGCTGAAATGGAGCGCAAAGGCGCTCGTGTTGTCACTTGGGCGTCTGCGTTAAACCAGCCACGATCGCTTCCAAGCGGCGCACAATCGCGGAGAATGCCGGGCGGGCACTCGCGTCGTTGAACGAACACTCTTCGAGAAGGTGCAAGACAGTTCGCGGCCACGGCTTGCGGTCAAGGATGCGCGGCCGGTAGCTGCGCGTCGCAATTTCGTTCAAGAGCTCTTTCGGCGGCTGCTGCGTACGCTCCGCGTACGGTGCGACACGGTTCATTGTCTCCACCATGACTAGAAGAGCATCATGAGTCGTGGACATCGTCGCGGATCGAGGGACGTACGCATGGCAAAGCTGTAGACGTCAACCTTTTCCGAGTAGTTGGGTTCACCGCGCAAGATCTCGGGCGCCGCCCACGCCGGTGTCCCAATCAGAGTCTTATCGCGGCCGAGTTGCCCGCTGAATTCGAAATTCGTGATTTTGGCCGTCAAGTTGCCCCTACAAATTGACGACGTGAGACACACAACACTATAATAGCTGAGTTGTCCATGCCACGTACGAAAGGTTGATATTGGCGGCGCGAAGGTCGCGGTGCAAGACAGGTACTGGCTTGTTGTGCAGGTACTGCATGCCGCGGGCCACGTCCAGAAGGATGCCAAGTCGGTCGAGCACCGAGAGCGTAAGCGCGTCATTGGCCAAGGCGTTGGCGAGGCTGCCGCGCTCTGGCTTTTCCGTGATGAATGATCTATGCGGTGGGTTGTCATGAATACCCAAATACATTGGTACTGAAGCCAAACGTACACTGACGTTGCGTCCGAGCTGACACCGTAGAAGGGTACGATGTTCGGGTGGTGGAGGCTCATGCACATGCGCGCGACTCGGTTCACTTCGCGCACTTTGGCGTCGGTCGGCGCAGTGATTTGCTTGAGGATGACGTTGGCGCCACAGTACGTTGCGTTAGACACTGACGTCCACAGTGGGCTCTTGTGCAAATTCGAGTCTGCCACGACAGTGAGGTGCGCTGCTGGCACATGGAACGGACTGGGCAGACAGGCTTGGATCGCCGATGAGAACGGAGTCTCTGTGCTTGCACTGGGAGCATCGACGTTCTCGGTCTTGACGCGTTTGTATGCATTATTGAGGGGAGCAAGCGATGCTGGGGGCGATGAGGGTTTGCGCTTGAGGCCGGGAGAGGCGGTTTTTGAGAGGGTCGTCAAAGCAGGCGCACGTGGGGTGGTCGCGGTCTGGGCGTGCTGCATCGTGATTGACTGAGAGCGGTGTGTGAACTCAAAAGGATATTGGGTAATGAGATTGTTTGGTCGTTGATTTCAACGGCGTTGCTTTTCGAGCAACACCATAACGTTACACTATACTCTTTCAATCAACATCGTCCAAGATCATTATGCCCACGACACTGCATGGCTGGGTTTTGTGAGCAGATTCGAGAAGACCAAAATGAAGTGCGTGGTTCTTGTGATTGCAAATTCAGACTCGGTGTTGGTCCGCTGGCGCCGTCCAAGGGTACGTATAGAGGCTTTTATGAACCCTTGTGCCGTCCCGTTGAGTCGTGTGATAGCGCCCGCGGCTGCGACTTTGGGACCAGAGATATCCGGATAATATCAGATGTATCGCCACTGTACAGTATCAAGCCATCATGTGCAATCGAGTGAAAGTATCAAGTGTGGGTGATAGAAAGCGAGCCCGTGTGCAATCACCAATTGCGCGATCTGGCCGCCGGACGAAGCAGCTGCTAAATATCTTCACTTTTTGCATGCACTAGCTGGGGCGGATCCATGCCAAGACGACACATGCGACGGGCAATGCGAACTGACAGTAGTCCTTGGGGTCACTGATGCTGCCTTGTGGTTATTGTCAAGCACGGCAAGGACAAGCCAACGACCATCAACGACACCAGTTCTAGCAGCCACAGCACTAACACCCGCGCGATAACCTGTCCCAACCGTCTACATGACACCAAGTTTATATATGGACTCTCCGCGACGTCCGAAGGCTCGATCCAACGTAACTAGTCCCATCCTAAACATGCTTGCAACGCCACCGTTGGTAGCTCGACGATTCACATCGTATTTGGCGTACAATCGACCCCACATTTCGCAGTATCGGAGACTCCACCAAGAACGTACCTACGCGCTCTTCAAAAGCCTGCGCAGCGTCCACAACTACCACCACAGACTGTTTCAACTACACTACATGATCACAAACGAATGTTACGGTTTGAATGACTCGAGTATCGGCTCTGTCCTTGTGGCCGAATCACTCGCATGGGCGGCGACGGGACTACAATCGGCGACGGCGCCTTATAGATAGCAACGGACGGCTGTGGCGCCCGCCGCAACCGGTAGACATAGAGAGCAACGAGGCCAACGCCAACAAGGACAATCGGGAGCACGATGTAGGGCAGTATACCAAACGATCGCGTATCTTCGAGCGCCAAGAGCACATCTTCGGACGTGACCACCGGCGTCACGACGGCAGTACTGTTGGTGTCGGCTTCAAGTGCACGCCGGCCACCATCTCGGACGATCGACGACGCGACAACGCCCCCGCAGCGCCGGGTCGTCAGTGCTGATGCCGCGGCGGACGCGGCTTGAAAAAACACCATTTGATATGGTTGCCCGCCGCACGTCGCATGCAAATGTTGTTTGCAATTGTCTTCTTCGATCGCGGAGCCTTGTAGCGGCACCCATTTCGTACGTGTGGTCACGGCCGCGCGGACGCTCGCGACCGATGTGCCAGCGTCAACAACGACACCCAGAACGTCGTAGGCAGCGTCGCAGACAACGTCAATGCTTGCCGCGAGGACGGCGGGCGCATCGTCGCGCGACGCTTCGTGGCCCACGATGCAGTAGCTCTGGCGTGTGGGGACGTGTTCGATGCGGTAGGTTGGCATCGTCGCGTCGTGTGGCAGCGGCGGCGCACCACGATCCAAGAGCGTGCACGTCGCGTTGTGAATGTAGAGCGAGGCGCCGGCGCAGTAGCCGGACACGGTCTCGTAGCCGGTCAAGTCGGGCACGGCCGCGTCGACGGCGTGGATAAGGCACGGCTGCGTGGTCTCGAGGGCCGACCACTCGTCGCTGCACGACGCGCCGTGGGTGCCATGGAGAGTGAAAAAGGCAGGTCCAACGGCGGTGGTGCTGCTCAGTGCTAGTACGAGCGGGAGCAGTCGCATGGTGACGGAATGGTGCCAAGTGCCAACGCGACCGTCGTCTGCTCACGGCGAGAGATCCAGCGTACTACACGATCACGGTTTCTGAAAACGTAGGTCCTCTACTTTTCTCACCAGGGGAACGGGGACCCATTAAAATGTCTTCGGGACCTACGACGACGCGATTGCTCCCCATGCGAACTCGAACAGAGACACAGGCACTATTTTCATTCTTGGTGATGATAAAACGACCATCCGACGACGACGGTACTGGTATCTGTCCGACAGAAGCGCTACAAAAGTTGTGGCATGTCCCCCTACCCCACCCCTCTTTTGGTGCTTTGCAGACGGGGCGTGGTACGATCTGAGCGTTGGTAAGACCAGCACTGCGATTGCACCGGCGTAACCTCGGTATGATGGGACGGGGTTTGAATGGGATGGGCAATGCTGATTCCCAGTCTCTGTAGAACCAAAGGCCTTGTATTTGTGTTGCCTGCAGTCGACTCTGCGCGTCATCGCCGCCGCAGGTGCGGTATCCAGGCCCAGGTTCGTCGGTGCCGCGTGTCGCAGGTCATTTTGATGTAATCTTGCGTCTACATCAGTCCTGCCGATCGGCCGTCGACGTCGAAGTAATCTGCATAATAGGTCCACACTGCACCTCTACGATGCCGTCGCCGCTTGTGAATTAGGTACCAACGTTACTCGATGCCCCGCCAAGTGGGTCTTTGATACTAATAGCCGCGCTGGTAATACCACTCGCGGCGTGGATGTACTTCTCCTTCAGGATCTGCAGCTCGTGCTGGATCTTCTTGGTGCGAATCTCTTCGAGCACGCGATCTTCCTAGTCGGCCATTTTTCAGAATGTTTCGGGTTGCGCTAGAGTGCTCTACTTTGTGTTTTCGAACCAGCTCGTGAAGCTGCTTGAAATGATTCTTCTCTTGGGCCTCCAACTGCTCTTGCGCTTGCTTGGCCTTGAGCTCATACGCCTTGCGCATGACTGCAAACTCTTCCTTGAGCACGTCTTCGTACGACTCGATCTATTGCGCACATCAACGTCACGCTTCGATACCTAGTAGGAGAGCACCTCGGTCGCGCTGGTGGTTAGCGCCGACCGCTTCTCGGCTTGCAGCTGCGCAATGGACTCGATGTGGCACGCGATTTCTTGCTGGAGGCTTGCTGTAATATGGCGCTGCGCGTCGCTCCGTGCCGCTGCCTGCGCATTGGCTTGGTCGAGCTCCGATCGGAGCTGTTCGAGCGCATCGAGGCGGTCGGCCGCGAGCCTACGAACCCATTTAGTATCCAGAGAGCGATTTGAATCGAGAAAGGCCAACTTTTCCATGGTCCGGAACCCGATGTGGAGCTCGTCCACTTCGTTGCGCAAGGCGTCGAGTTGCACTTCGCGCATGCGCACCTCGGTCGTCAGCACGTTGGCGCGGTCGTCATCCGCCGTAGCACAACTGCGCGGTGCAGCCATTCTAAAACCTGCACATGAGCCCATGTGCGAACTCGTATCGCACGGAGTACTTTTCATGCAGCGCATAGACGACGCGCTCGAGGGTCGCGCCAAGCTTTAAGCAAGCGACGCCGACGTTCGAGTAGCGCAGCACACCAAGACCTGTTGCGAGCCTACACGTCGCCATAGGCAAATACAGAAGCCATGAACCACATTTTCTACATGGCCTCGAGTTGGTCGCGGATCGCATCGTCCTCTTCGGTGATGGTTTGAACGAATTTCTTGAAGTCAAAATTCGACGTCTGCAACTCTTCGACCGTGCGTTGCAGTCGTTGGACGTCGGCGCGCACCCGGTTTGTCTCGGCTGTTGCTGCGCTCAAGGCCATGTTGTGCTGTGCTTGAAGTCGATCTGCGTCGTCGCGGAGCGCCTGCATTGCACTGTCCCTATTGGCAACCTAAATGGACGTCATTTCTCTCGCATGAAATTGATAGACGTGCTTGGCGTGAGAGCTCGTCAAGGGTCTCGGCTCGGCTCTGGCACTCGCGTCGCAGCAGATTGGATTGACTGCTGTGCAAGTCGACGGCCTCTGTGAGCTGCACGAGCATGTCTTTTGTTGCTGGCAGCGCAGCTCCAGGAGCCCGCGCTCATGGCGCCACGCTGCCTCTTGGCGGGCGTAATTGGCCTGCGCAGCTTGTTCTGACTTTGCAGCGTATCGATTTGCCTTGTCAATGCCTGGATGTCTGCCTCGACTTTGGCTGCATCCGCCGGTCTCTGGTTATCGACGGGCGCGGATTTGCATTCCGGGGCGAAAAGGCGAGCGCCCTTGGTGGACGATGAGTTGGATCGGTGCAGCTGCAATGTTCTACACTCGGGAATGTTGTCTACTTGACGTTGGAACGAATTAGATGCGTACCTGTCAATAAGAGCGAGGAAGGACGGAAGTCGAGACAACGACGCTGGTATCTCGGAGGCTGGGCCCAACTCGGTTTGCTACAACGCGAAACTCCACATCGAATCGTTTCCGCTGCACCGTACCTGGAGCACTTGTTTTTCGAGGGTCTGCATCTTGCGGTCGAGGAGTTCGCGCAGCCCAAGCTACAAAAGTCTGTGGTATATTTGAAGGAATGAGCCAAGTCCAAACCTTGAGTGTCGAGATGCGCAGTGCTTCGTCAACCGTTGCGTATTTTCCCTTGCGAGGAGCCCACCAATGTCGGTTGCCTTGGCGTCAACATGGGCCAAAAACAATGAAGGAAGCAACCCACCTGTTGAAGAACGAGTTTGAACTCGGCTTCAATCGTTGCTGGAGCTCTACAGTCCATTGAACGCGTTGCTCAAGCGGCGGTAAATGCAAGAGAAGAAAACCCACCGCTCATCGCGATCACCACCCACCATTTTGGATTGGAGAAGGACGCAGTCCGACTTGAAGACGGAGAGCATGGCGGCATCTACGGACGGCGCTCGGGGTGGGGCGGTTTGAGATACGGCAGCGTGGACTGCGGCTTCTCGTCCGCATCGCTGCGAAACAAGGTCGTGTCACCGTTGCGTCGTTAGTGAGTCTTTGTACCTTCGCTTGTCTAGAGGCGACGGCAGCACGCGACTCGTTGGCGTCGGCGCGCGTGTCATCGGTAGGCCCGAGCTTGCTCGTCTCATTTCTAACCGTCAAAAAATAGATTGAAGAATCTAAATTTATACTGGTAGGAACCTCTGGTTACACCAGCCCAGGGGGGATTAATTGTCTGTCCGTCTGTCTGTCCGTCTGTCCGTCTCCGTGTCCACGACTGCAGTGATTGGTAGAAATTGTGTCCGCGGCTGCAGTGATTGGTAGAAATTCAAAAGATACCTTCTTCGCGGCGTGTCGCTGAACCTCTTTCCCATTGGTCAAAACTCCCTGATACAACCGATGTGTCCTACTCTTGTACCATCTTGGCGCCATGTCGCTCGAGCTCTGTGGTGTTGCGCTCTGTGGCGTTGCGCCGGGGTTGTCTGTGTGCACCACCATCTAAAAAAAGCATGCACACAACACCTGAAGAGAAGGCCGCGCGGCTCCAAACGCAGCGCCAGGGCAAAGCCAAGGCCCGCGCAGCCCAGGAGACGAACGCGACGTCGGACGACGAGGCTACGCGGCTCCAAAAGCAGCGCCAGGGCAAAGCCAAAGCACGCGCCGCTCAGAAGGCGAGTGAGACGCCCGAAGAGAAGGCTGCGCGGCTTGACAAAGAGCGCCAGGCCAAAGCGGATGCGCGCGCCGCCCAGGAGACGAACGCGACCCGCTTCGACGCCGAGCTCCAGCTCGACAACGTGTACATCATCACGAACGCGCTGGTCTCTAGCCACGACGATTTCGGTCGTAAATTCGACCCGCACCCCGACTTCGGCCTCCGATTGTTCTCGGACACCATCGTCCGCTGGGTGGACGACGACCTCCTCATCCCGGAGATCAATGTCTCTGGAGACATTACAGCGATGCCAACGATGCCCGCGCTCCAAGTCATCGAAGACGTTGGCATGCTCGCGATCTGCCACTCACTTGAACCTAGCGCCGACGACAAGAGCTTTGCCACGCTGGTGGATGACTCGGCAGGCGGCTCTCGCGCCACCATTCGTCTTACGTTGTACGGCAAGCATGCCCGCTCAGCGACACAAGATCGGTTTGGCCAGTGCCTCTTGCTTCAGCGTTTCAAAGTCAACGATGGCGCCATCTCAGCCTCCGCTCATACATGCATTTCCATTGCTGCTTCGTTGCCCGAGGCCAAGCGTCTCCTCCACTGGTACAGCACTCAGTGAGCACATCCTCAGCCTCCTTGTACATTGTACATCGACTGCTTTTATCCACAATCATGCTTATCTTTTCATTTTTCGCTCTTTTCCTGCTTCACAAATGGGGTACACTTCAGTTTCACGTTCCCTCAAACAGAGGTTTCCTACCAGCCCACTCCGCAGGAACCTAGTTGGTAAGCTACCGACGATGGTCCACAAATTTTAATCAGGCTACTCGCACACAGGTACATTTATGGATAGATGATAAATGAATAGATATAAACCAGCTGAAACCAGCTGGATATAAACGGTGTCATTGTGTGTTAGCCCCTCAACGCCCAACTTAAAGTAATGCTCGCCATCCCCATACACTGAAGCACACCTCGGTGTATCCCGTATTCGCAATTGCATCGAGTTGTATGAAACTTACTGCGATGCCCGAAACATCCTGGTTGTACTAATGTTGTGCGTGCCATTACGTCTAGCTGACTATTTCGTCGGTCGTCTACTTACGTGTATACCACTCACTCGTGCACGGCTGTACTGGCACTGTACGCCAAGCCACGAAGCCGGAAAAGGTCAAACCTCGGTTGCTGGAGGACTGAAACTTACGGGATAAGAATGTGCTTACTAGCACGAGTACATATATTGAATTTATATAGTTTTGCTGCTGTACTTGATTCATTGTGCGGTGGTGAGCGGCGGCATTCTCGTATACTGTACTCTTCCATAGTCTATTGTTCAAGCCACGGAGCAGACTCAGCGACTTTACCGACTGTTTGCATCACGTGCACTTGTTTGGCATCACAGGGCAATTGCTGCGTCTTGGAATCCCTCCCAATGCTTGCCACTTCACCCAACATTCGGTCCATTGCTATGATACCTTCCACAAGTAGTGTCGCCTTCAGGTGCGTCTGCTAAGAGTCACCCGAAGGAATGGAAAGCACTTCTTACCGTACCAGACTGGCGAAATATCGCCAAGTCAAAACCCGGCCGTTTCGGATCCATTTTCAGACTGGTACGTATTTGCGTCGATGGCCCATCAGGCCCATCGATATTGGAAAGCGGTTTCTATGGGTTTCTCTGAGAGTCCGAAATAGATGCCATTCGACACCCTATGCGATCTTGGCATTTCAGACTCTTCCGCCACCATGCGACTGCTCTCGCTCGTCCTAGCACTGAGCAGCGCTGCCGCCACGGGGCCTGCTTTCCTTACTCTCCATGGCACCAAGGAGACAAATAACGGTACACTCCTTAACGGCACCCACGGCGCGTCGTGCAGCGACGAGTGGTCGGTCCTCGAGACCACGCAGCCGTGCCTTATCCACGCCGTCGACGCGGCCGTGCCCGACTTGACCGGCTACGAGACAGTGTCCGGCTACTGCGCCGGCGCCTCGCTCTACATTCACAACGCGACGTGCACGCTGTTGGATCGTGGTGCGCCGCCGCTGCCACACGACGTGACGATGCCAACCTACCGCATCGAACACGTCCCCACACGCCGGAGCTACTGCATCGTGGGCCACGAAGCGTCGCGCGACGATGCGCCCGCCGTCCTCGCGGCAAGCATTGACGTCGTCTGCGACGCTGCCCACGACGTTCTGGGCGTCGTTGTTGACGCTGGCACATCGGTCGCGAGCGTCCGCGCGGCCGTGACCACACGTACGAAATGGGTGCCGCTGCAAGGCTCCGCGACCGAAGAAGACAATTGCAAACAACATTTGCATGCGACGTGCGGCGGGCAACCATATCAAATGGTGTTTTTCAAGCCGCGTCCGCCGCGGCATCAGCACTGACGACCCGGCGCTGCGGGGGCGTTGTCGCGTCGTCGATCGTCCGAGATGTATAACAAATACAAATGTATGACCTTGCCAATACCACACGAATCGTCGAGATAGCAAGGGTGGTGCTTGATGTGCACGGATACTGCACGGATAGTATCGACTAAGGTTATCCGCCGGTGCCCGAAGATCTCGGTATGGAGATGACGTGTGGGTAGTTCGATGTCTACGGTTAAGCGGGAGTTTCGACCGTTGAGGTCGGCTCCTGCAGGAATACTCAGTTTCTATCTTGGACTTTGGTGTGCGTGCGAAGGCCGCTCGGCGCACCAAGGGCAAGAGCGCCTCGCAAGGCGCGGGGAAGACATTAGTGCTACTGCAAGCGCGAAAAGGATGTGACTTTCCACATCGAGTCTTGAGACGTTACAGAGACCATAACCTTGCCGCCCTTTGGCGACCAGTGTGAAATTGAAACGGGCTGGCTGTGTTGACGTAATAGTGATTTGGGGGCTAGAGCCAGGGGTACATAATAGGGGGTGCTTCACGCTACAAATTTCAAGATATTTTTATTCAAAAGCGCCGAACCGACCAGGGTCCGAAATTGAACATCTCAATTTGAGAAAACGGCTTGAAATTTTGGAGCATTTTCGAACAATCGATCATATCGTCGCGAAGACTTGTTGCAAGAAGATCAGTCATAGTGCTATCGATAGCCCCTAGTACGATGCACACGTTAACGCATTCAGCTTGGTTCTGTCGCTCCATTTCATGGAGTTGTGACTCGCCCAATTTTGGTGCATTTTCGCAAACTGCAGAGTATACATTGACAAGTACAGTGGGAAATTGTAAGAATTAATTTTCTCAATTTACCCGCGAAGTCTTATTAACAGTGTAAGTCGACGACGATCGCTAAAGCATCTCTAGTATATGCACACGGCCATGACGGAAGCGTGGCGACAGTTTAAGTACGTACATCCAGGGTTTTGACGTCGCTGCATGACGTCGAAGACGCGTATAAAATACGGTAATTTGAGTATATGGCTGGCTCTCTTTTTGCAATTAACAGTGTAAGTCGACGACGATCGCTAAAGCATCTCTAGTATATGCACACGGCCATGACGGAAGCGTGGCGACAGTTTAAGTACGTACATCCAGGGTTTTGACGTCGCTGCATGACGTCGAAGACGCTGTCGGTGGTGCCGGTGGAGCCTCGACGTCGTCTGTGTGGCGTCACCTGGCATTATGTTTGGCGTTCGGCATTTACTACCATAAATAGCCATATTTTGGTGAACACAGGCCCGCCGCGCCGGTGGATCGACCAAGATGAAGTTTAGAAATGAAATGGTCCATACTTGTATGAGTGCTAGACCACACTTTAGGGAGTCTAAAATGCTATGTGGCGTCGCCGTGTGAGCTCTGTAGCGAGAGTAAATGTCAGCGGCGAATAATATTTTGATATAGTGTGCTTTTTCTCTATACTGAAATACTGTACAGGATACAAGGCCTCATCACGCAGCGGTATCGCGCGCACTTTGCCTCCCTCGCCCACACGCAACACGCTCTTTAACATAAACAAAGAGAGATAGTGTCCTCGATTTCCGTGACTTCGACGCATTTTCAACCGAAATTGCGTGTCGTATTTCGTGAAAACCGACGCTCAGCAGTTCGAGTTTGGTGTGAGTGCCCAAGCAACGACGGCGACCAACAAGCTGGTCGCACACCGGGTCGAGACCCATCGCCAACTGTGGCAGCCAGTTTTACGGCCCTTGGAGCTTTGGAACCCCGCGATGTCACGTGAAGTATTTGGGCAATTCTGCCACCACCTCGAAAAATGGAAAATGGATTTGCGCGTGATTGCGCTACGTGCAGCGTCGGAAACGACTTGTGCGTCGCTCAAAAAGTGTGTGGAGATGTATACACGGCTGCTACGTAGCGCTGGCGCGTCTGTGGACTGCTACTCGTCGTTGTGCTGAATTGGCGCACACTATTTATGACGACGTGACCATGTCTTGTGATTGGCTAGAAAGAATCAATAATGGGGCCAATAGAAACATCCATTCCAGATCGAGTTCCAAACGAGCCGGGCTGCGGATCCGCAAGCACAAGAAGTGGTGTGGGCGCGCGCCAACATCGGGAAGGTCCGGCCCGACGTTGGGCTGCACGAAGAGGCAGAACGCACTGCCTTCCGCGAGAAGCGCAAGCGGAACCTCGGCGGCCGGGTCGAGGCGCTCAAGAAGACCAAGCCGACGCCGCCGGCCATTGACCGCGCCGCCGCCAGTCGCCTGCATCAAGAAGTACACCGACAAAGGTATCGCGCTCGGCGAAACGCTATGCCTGGTCCACTGCCAGACGGGCCGACGCAAGCCGCCTTCGCAAGCCTGTCCCCCAGTAGAGCCAAGACGACAACGACGCCACCGAGACGCCACGTGCAGCGAGCGCCGACCCCATGGCTGCGATTGTGGGCAAGCCCAAGGTACTCATGGCCGCCGCCAACGATACGCGGGAAGCCGACGTGCTCGACTTTGCCGGTAATACGACGCACACGGAGCTCAAGAAGACGAAGACAGTCAAGTCATCGTCGTCTTCCTCCAGTCGCCTCGACCAGCTTCGACGCGAGCGCGCCGAGCGCAAGGGCGTCGGGCAGCGCCGACTCGAGACGCTCCTCCGGCGCCAACGTAGAGCTACTCCATGTAGATATATGAGTGAAAATACTGGGTGATTTTGCGATGAATTGATTTGCATATTCGAAACCACGCTCTATGCGCGGAGCCGCAACGCCGGGATCATTTCAGTGGCCAAGGACACGTCTGCCTAGGATTATGAAGGCTCAAAGCGCCATGTAATGGCTCGCGTTGTGCGCGTCCAACCTTAATTTGGTATTGCCATTAATACCAAATATAGCCACATTCGAACGCCAAACGCTCGGTGGAGCGAGAGTTGGAGCACAATTCATGATTGAAACGAAAGCGCTCATACTTGGCATGGTGATAGAATGCACTTTGGAGAGTACGAAACGCTGTATGTCGTCACTGTTCAAGCTCTGCGGCGAGAGTTCTTGACAGTATATTGAGCATACTATTTGAAGCCAATATTTCCCGGTATAGTGTAGGCATTTAAATAGTATATTAAAATGCAAGCGGCGCCGTAGCGGGCTCTAGAACCACCATTGTCAATGTAACATACTCTCCGATACCATGTAAGAGACATAGCGCTCTCAGATTCTGCGAAAACTCATCATTTTTACTCGAATTTATATGTACAAGTCGGCGAAAAACGACGCTCGGCAGTACGACTTTGCTGTGAGAGCCCAAGCGCCTACCACGTCCCAAGCGCAAGTCGCCGGGCCAGTCCATATGCATAGCCAACTGTGGCTGCCCGCTTCGGAGTCGGTCGAGTTTCCGAACTGCGCGAAAACACGTTGTGCATCTGGGCGTTTCTTTGGCCACCTCGAAAAATCAACGTTGGGATTCGCATGCATGCGCTGCGTTCGGCGTCCAAACCTTCATCTCCATGATACGAGGATGCTATAGAACGACAGGAACCGGTGCAGCCTCGCGTTAACGCGTCTGTGCGGCGTCGATCGTGGTAGTAGTGGTCAATTTCACACTATTTAAGATCTATCAGCCTGATATACTGTATTGTATTCGGATAACTGATACAATTTGTATGTCTGTGAGTATCGAGCTTTCAATTCAGACCTTATCGTTGCCAATAGCTAATTTGTTCCCAAAAACAAGTATGGGCAATAAACTATCCATTGCATTCAAGCACTATGACCGAAAAACTGAGTAGCAGATGAATAGCGGGAGACTCTAAGCCTCGTTTGTGGTGCAATTGAAATGAACACTCTTGAAACTTTCGGGTCGGTTCAGACGAGGCTAAATCAGAGCGTTCATTCCACACGAATCGTTGGCCAGACGTCGCCGTGGATTAAACGAGCCGCTAGGTATACGACCAAGCATCCGTCAACGTACTCTGAAAAAGCGTCGTTTGGTGTGACTTGTTCCAGTAGCATGAGGCACTTGAACTCGTCAAAGCAGCGCAGCTCGTGAGCGCGTCGATCACGCCGCCCGTTACTCCATCTTCGTGCTCTTGGACAACGCTACAGAGCGCGTCCATGCTAAAGTGGTCGATTGCCCCTTTCGACCGCGCCTCGAGAATCCTTTGGCACCATCTGGAGCTGCACTGGGCACTGTCGAGCGCGGGCGTGGCCGACACATGCATGTCGAGCTACAGGAGGAGCGGCGCGGCCTGTGGAAATTCCACGGCGAGGATCGGAAGGCTGTTCGCGACCAGAGAGTAGGCGGAGCGTCGGCCTGGGCCAATGGCTGACCTTGGGCGCGATCGTATCGAGGACTTCGAGCTTTTCAACCGGACGCGCGAGCTGGCAAAGGTCGTTTCGTCTAGCGCTTGGGCGTGTACTACCGTAGTACGGTATGCAATCGGACTGTTTGCAATCGGCTTGAGAAAATCTTGTGTCCATTTTACGGTGTCGGGGTTAACTTAAAAGTTCAAACAAGTTCAGGCGTTGGAGGGTTAAGCGGACGACCTGAAGATGCTTCCAGATGTCGCACCACTCACTATGGACAAGTGCTACAGCCCGAAGCCGGCAGGATCGTATTTTCGGGACCCACGCCAGTATTCCATCGCGCGCGATCAACAGCGCCAGAAACTCTGGTGCCCCGATATGCCGAATTGTACTATTTGTGGCGTCATGTGGGAATTATATATGGCATATGCCACTTTGAAGGAAACATAACACACAACGGCAAGCTCAATGTGCCACTTGATATGTGAAGTGGCACACCGAGCTTGCCGTTGTGTGTACGAAAAGAGACATGTGGCACCGACACCGCCCTTGCGATGGCGCGCGTCACTGACAATGGAGCTGAGGTTGTTGCAAATAAAGTCGATGTGCTTGGCGAGCTCGTCGGGCCGGATCGTCGTGTTAAGGCTGCTAAACGCCAAGAGCGCAGCCTCGACGACCGACGCATCGCTGTCGTTGAAGAGCGCGACTGGTACTTGAGATAGATCGGGCCTTGCTCGACGTACGGTACGAGACAGCTGCCGACTGGCAAAAGGCTGTGATGAGCCAGCACGCAAGATACCGCGTTTCGGCAATGTTGGCTTCGCAGTACTTGCAAGTTTCAGCGGCAAGCCATTGGACACCGGCCGCCTCGACACTCAGCGCAACCGCACGCACGAAGTGCTGGATCGCTGCCGCCCTATCGTCGTTCGGTCGGCACAAGTGGAAGGGACGCCGTGAGTTTGGAAATGGCTTGTGCAAGCTCGAGCCAAGCGGCTTGGGCGTGCACGACGCCATGCGCCGAGGAGCTCGATGGCAGCCTGCTTCATACGCCACGCCGGATCGTCAAGAGCACGCAAGATCGAAGGCAGAATAGCTTGACACCATGCGCCGAGAGATTGCGCATGATGTCCTTGGACGTGCCGATGGCGGCCACGCACACGGCTGCGCTCGTGTCTGCGAACGACTTGAGAGGATCGGGCGAATCACAGTCACGAACAGCTCCTAGAGGAAGCCAAGGCGCTCACAGAGGCACTCCGTGACGGACAAGGCGCCTTGGCGGGCGTCCGGGTTGGAGTTCTTCTCGCTTCCTCGAGGCCCACGAATGACCAGATGCTGCTTGCGCGAGGCGATGCCAAGACCCTTGACGACGACCGAAACACTGAACGCGGCGCCCATGCGGTCACCAAGCGATGGCACAATCATCCAGAGTCAACGAACTTTGTCAGTTCTTGACCGCGAGCATGAGCAGCGACATGCTCGTCGCAAGCGCGCACTGGACGGCCTTGGACACGATCGAGAGCGACGCAAAAAGCTGGTGCACCACTGACGTTCGGCCTTGTCCGTGTCCTTGGCGAGCGAGGCAGACAACACTCGCCTGCGCGCTTCTAGCTTCTTGGACGGCGCTTCGATTCGCGCTTTGAGGAGCGTGAAGAGGCCGTTCGTGTACATACGATTCCATCATATGGACACTGACCTTGCGCATGGACGCTGTGCTGCGCGTCGCCGAGGCGGAGCGGGAGAATAAACTGGGCGTAGGTCATGACGTGCGAGAGGATCTCCGTCTTGGCGCAGTGCTCCATGCACGCGCCGGCGCCGAGGCGTGGCAAGACCGTCAACATACTCTCGTCGGCCTCGAGATCGTTGTGTGCTCGACCGCCGCGCGAAACGGATTGTGCTTGGCCTCTGTGGCGCCTCGGGCAAGAATTCCGATCAAGTGCCCTCGAGCGCCGGTGCAATCGTGTCGGGAAACGGCTTCAAGCCTATGCCACAGCGGCCGCGTCGCGGCTTTGGCCTGCGCGTGGCGAAGAAGCCGCATCAGGACGGGTCCCATGACCGATTCATGGGTAAGAACTGCGTACGAGAGCGGCCAAATGGCTTCGGCCAGCGTTTTGTTTTCACCGCCCTTGTCAAAACGAGCGACTGACAGAATCATTAAGTGCATCGGTGTCAAGTCGACACCAGTCCTCGTCTTGGTCGTCAAATTGAGCTTCGACCTTGGCGAGCGTCGCCTTGAGCACGCAGGACAAGCCTGCACGAGCGTCGAGAGCAAGCCAAGGTCGTCGACGATTAGCGCGCACACGTTTAACAACAAAGACGCGCCGGCGGGGATCTGCTGCTAAACAACGTCGGTTGGTCGACGCCGGGATCTCCTCCTTGGCATTGTGCTCGATCCACGCCTGCGTGACCGCGAGCGTGCGCAGCGAGCGCTGGGCCGCCGACCTCGAGCTCGACTTATTGACAGATCATCTTGGCGTGAACAGCAACGAGCGGCAGCACATACTGCCGGCACGCCATCAAGAATGTGCAAAAGATCAGGAACACCATGTACATGTACAGTGCGTTAGCAAATGGTAGTCGTCCACCCAGTTGAGCAAACGATGTTGGTCGAGAGAAGTCAAAAGAGACGCTCAAAGATGTTCTCGTTGAGCTGGTCCACCGTCGCGGGCGAGATACCGCAGCCAATGTGCAGGGCCGACGTGGGCTCGGACCATGTGCGTGGAGGTTTGTGGGCATGACGCACTTGCCGAGGTGCGTGAAGGCAAAGTCCGCAAACATCGGGCTCGGCAGAAGCGCCAGAATCGGCGTCACCAAGTGCAGCAGCGCAGGTTGGAACGCCTCGGCGCCGTGCGCGCCACGAGGTGTTTGGCCTCGCCCAAGCGACCGCGCAGTTTCTTTTGCTGCCGAAGCGTTTGGAGCTTCTGCTTGGTGCACTGGACTTTTTGGTCGTCGCCGGCAAACTCGAAGCGTCGTAAGAGCACGCTGCGCGCTCGAGGTGGAGAGCTCGGTCTCGAGGTACGCGTCCGTGAGACCCGGCACCACATAAAAAGTCCGTCGACGTGGTCGTGCACCGTCAGCACCATCTCATCATACATCGCAGCCGACGGCGCGAGGTCGACACGAACCAGGAGTTGAGGTGCCTCCACTCGCTCGCAAAGGCGTCCTTGGCCGCGCTGTGCATGACAAGCGCTTGGTGCGAGACCACGAGAAGGCTATGAAGAGCGTCGTCGTCTCGGTCGAATGACGCACCGGCAAGATCGTGCGCAGGTGCGGATACCTGCGAGCGACGGCTCATTGTAGAGAGCCGCGTCGGTGTCCTTCGTCGTGCGGTTGGTCAGCGGCAGATGCGACTGCTCAAAAGCCCTATAAAGGCTGTACAGAGCTGGTCCGGAACGAGCGCGCGCATGCTTCTTCCTGGGATAAGCACGACATGGAGGAGGTAATGCACCTACAGCGGCAGACGAGAAACCTCGTTCGAGTCAGAAGCCTAGTCATTCTGTGAGACCCGAGTCGCGTCAAAGACACGTGGTACCTTGTGCCAAACGCGAACCAGAGCCACGTCGACATCTGGAAGAACGAGGTATGGCGAAGTATGCCGTGGACCATGGGTACTGTTGTTGACCGCCCGAGAAGCTCCAATTGTTGGTAGCTCGAGCAAGAGATTCGCGGCGGGCGAGAGGTTCGTGACGTCGTCGCGACCGTCTCGGTGCTGGCTGCCGCATGCAAGCAGCAAGACGTCAAGTGCGAGGCGCTCAAGACAAGCGCCATCTGGCTCTGCGCCACGAGATGACGCGCGCACTCCGAACGCGACGCAGCGCCCACTGCTGCGGCGGCGGCGTAGCTCGTCGTCTTGGTGGCCATTTTGGAAATGCCCTTGCTTTTGGTATCCGGCTATTTATCCGGATGCCTCGAAACGCCACGAGGGCGACAAGGGTCGAGGCCTTTGTACGCACTCCTCGCACGAACGCCCGAGGTTGTCGCTGTCAGCGTTTGTCTCTTCGACTACATACCTCACGGCGCGTAGACGCCCAACGTAAAAGCAATGGCCTTTTCACCGCTTAGGCGGCGATGGCTGCATCGACGCCAGCAACCACGACCCAATACGGATGCGACAAGCCTCTTGCACGCATGAATGCACGCCGCCGATCGCGACGCCTGGAAGGAATCTACGGAACTTGTCATCATGGGCCTCACCCGCGGCCACAAGCGTCCCCGCGCGACTACAGAGGAACAAGATGCACCCCCGCGCCGCCGCCTGCGCAGCCACGGCCCGGCGAGCGAATGAAGAAGGAGATTGCTAGTCTCTACGTATGCGAACTCTTTGTAACAACCAAGATAACGCGAAACACGTTCATATATATAGCCACGACCAACTATTACAACGAGATGTTGAGCTCGGCCTGGAAGAACGAGTCGCCGGGCATGCGGGCAAGGATCTGGCTGTACGGGTCCACGGGTGGCGAGTACATTTCAAACGTCAGCGGCGCGCTCGTGATCTTGCTCAGATCCAAGCGGAAGAAGGTCCAGCAAAACACTTCCGGGCCGTCCGTGTGGTAGTCGTACCGAAGCAGCTCAAAGACCGCGACGCAGCCTTCCGTCATGTGCTCGAGCGGCACCTGGAGATGCCACGTTTTGCCAAACCAGAGGCTCGGGCCGTCCTGGATCAGCGCATCCGGCGTCGTCTGCGGTGTGTCGACCACCGCGCGGCGCGGGTCCATCGAGTAGATGCGGAAGTGGGGCGTCTGCATCACGCCACCCGCAATCGCGACGGCGCTCAGCAGCACCGAGACGTACGTGTCGTCGCGCACCTTGAGCGGACCCGACGGCCGCGGGAGCAAGCTGCGGTCCGCAGGGACCTACAGAGATCGATAAGCCATCAAATTATACCATAAATCCGTACGGCGACGACGGCGCCGGGGGCAAAGAGCTCGCGCATTGACTCGTCGTTGGCGAGGTCCACGGGTGTGTCGCCCGCGTTGTTGCGGATCGCAGTGAGCGCGCCCTTCTTGAAGAGACTCTCGATGAGGTCGTCGCACTCTTGGATGACGGCGTAGTGCAGCGACGTGTTGCCGAGCGTGTCCTTGGAGATGACTTGATCTTCCATGTTGGGAATGTCAAAAAGCACAAAGCGGGCGAGGTTCAAGTCGGCGCCGGGTTCTCTTGCTTGCTCAGCGAGTCGATTTCGGGAAAGTTGTAGAGGAGCGGGATGTTCTTGTACGGGTTGATGCTAATGAGGATGTCGCCCGTGAACGTGTAGATGAGGTCCTGCTCGTAGCGGCGCCGGAGCAGGTCGAGCAGAGGCGCCTCGTGCAGGTTGTCCATGTCCGAGACGTTGGGCAAAAGCTGGGCGTGCGAGACGTCGAACGGGTGCGTCTGCGTCACGGCAAACTTGTGCTCCTCGTTGTCGTCGGGCGTGAGCACGAAGAGCGACTCGCCGTCGTCCTCGGCGATCGAGCCCAGCTGCCAGACTTGCGGTCGGGGCACCACACCTTCTCGCCCTCCCGGCGGTGCTTCTTGGCCGCCATCATCTCGTCGCCGGTTTGTAAATCAGCCGTCAGCTTGGCCACCCCGTAAGTGCGAAAGTCCCCACACCTCGTCATTGACGTTGCGCACTTGACTGGCATATATCACTCTATGTATGTATGAGTCTCGATGAAGTGCGGTATCTTGAGCAGGTGCTTTCTGGAAAAGACGCCAAAGCACCCGGTTAAATACGCTCTGGTTGACCGTACTTTAAAGGGACTTGATACTCGTGTCGAAGCGCCGGTCAAGCACGCCGTGGACTGGCCAATGTCGTTGTCCCAACGGTCGTGGCTGCCGCAGCACCTCCACTTGTCGAGGTTGAATTTGATCACGCTCTTCCACGCTCTACGAAGCATGTGCGATTCGGCGCTCTGGAGCAACTATATGCGCCTCGTCTTGCCTAGTCGTGGAGATGCGCTTGTTGGCTTTGGCAATGCACGCCTCGTACGACGTGATGCCATTCGCTGTCGTGTCGTTATCCCACGGCTCTCGGCGTGAACACATCGTCCTGCTACCGTATTTGACCGTATCGTTACCATACCTGGCAGGTGGGTAGGTACTTGGACAATTGTAGAACGCATGGAACGCAACAACACTCATTGTTCATTGAAGTGCGGAGAGCTACCGGAAATAGGTCATTAAGACGCGAACGCGGCAATGCGGACATGCGTTCGCGCCGAGAAGAAACGGGCGAAGACAGTTCTTGTGATACTGGTGAGTGCAGGGAAGCGTGACGACCATGTCGTCGGCTTCAAACTCTTGGTGGGCGCACAACGCACTAGCACACCTGTACGATAGTATGAGGAAAAACATACGACTCAACGAAGTCACATACACGCCGCCGTACGGGCTCTGGCCATTCCAAGTCTCCGTCTCGAGGAGTTCGAGCAGAAGCTTCGCCGTTGAACGCCAGGTTGCGTTGCACTGCTTGATCGCCTTCTCCTCCTACAATGCAACCGGTTCGTCTTTTGCTCATGTTGCATTGCATGATCGTGTTACCTTCTCGTTTTTTGCCGACGCAAGGCGACAGAGCTTGGTGTGTCTGATCGAAGCCACGATCGATGTCTCCTGGGCAAGGAAATTATGCATCTACATGCTTGGCAAGATAGATTGTACCATGGCATTGCGCAGCTTCTTCTCGGCGAGGGCCGTCTTTTTCAGGTCTGGCCAGTCATGATAATGAGGAACCTTGTCGGGGTTGTTGCGCCGGAGTGGGGGAAGGGGCAGGTCCTCCACGGGCGCACCCGCCGAGCGCAACAAGCGCTTGGTCGTGGGTTCTTCCTCCTTCGTCGGTGGCTACAGCTTGTGAGCGTTGACCAGAAGACAGGCGCGCCTACCGGCGACGGCGCCTCGTTCTCGTCGTCCCAGGAACTCGATGCATGGAGCTGGGAGCCATGAGCCTCGACCTCGGGAGCTTCCTGCTGTCCCATGAGCCCTTCATCTTCCCACGGAAAGGCCATGTACCTCGATCGTCGTCGCCATGCTTCTTGCTTCCGCACCGCAAATTTGAATTTGAAACGAAGAACGGTTTCGGTCGACCGGTAATCGTATCCGGACACTCCCCACTGCTCGTCGGTTCTGTCGGGTTGAAGCTGTCGGGACGCTCCTGTAGGTGATGCCACATGCGTGACGTACTCGTGCCTCACTGCAGCACACTTGGCAAGGTCCATTGCGTGCGAGCTGACGCACCTCGCAACGCTTTAGCAGACGCCGTGGATGGCCCGATGCGTGCACCTGGTCGTGCCACGTTTGGAGGCCACAAATGATGGTCGCTCCATACAAACTCTACAATACCACAACACCGGCAAGTAGGGTACTTGTACCACAGCATGGGCAAAGCGCGTGGGTGACGACGACGCGCGCATGGCTACTACCGCACTCCATGGTCGCATGCCAACTCGGTGCTGTAGCAGCAAGGACTCCACGCAGGCGGGGTGGCGCGCCCAAAGCCTCGATCGAGGGCCCACCGACCTCGTAGCGTACTGCAACGTGTCCCGTCGACACAGCGAGGAACGGGATCGAAAACTGATTCGGTCGCGTGCTCGCCCAATCACCGAAGCTTTCCCATCGAGTGCAGTCGACTTGCATTTGCATCCAAAGCGGACACGATGGCGAAAGAAGACAAGAAGAAGACGAAGAAGAAGAAGAAGGCGTCGCGGCGCCAACGGGATACGCACGACGTTCAAGTCCAGACGGTCGTCAAGACTTCTCGACGATCGCGGCCGTCGCCGTCTCCCCCGACGAGTGCCGAGAGCTCACAGGAGACGAAGGAAGCTGCGCTCGCGTCGGAGGTCGCGGTGCTCAAGTCGTCGCTTGAAGCAACGCAGGGCATACTCGACCGCGTCACCCGCCAAAGGGACAGGCTGAAGAACCAAAATTGCACCGATGACAAGACGATCGCCGACTTGAAGCAGCTCCTCGACAGGGCCACTGCAACACTTGCCGAAGACGATGGGCCAGGATCCGAGCACGACCGCAAGCTTCGAGAAGCCTCGGAAGCAGCAACGGTGGCGGCGAAGCTTCAGGCGGCTGAGCGCGAGATCGAGACGCTCAAGCAGCGCGGAGAAGACGTCAACGCGTTGTCGTTGCGTCTCGAGATTGCCAACTGCGAGAATGCTGCGCTCATCCAGCTTAACGAAGAGGCCCATCGCGAGACCGAAGGTGTCTTGACGCGGATGCAGGAGCGCATCCATGAGCTCGAAGGCCGCCTTGCGCAAGAGCAGTTGGCGCACCAAGCTACTCTCGCCGAACGTGACGCGCTGGTAGCAGTAACGTCAAACCGCTCGATCGCCCGCCTTCCGCGGCAGCCCGTCAGCTCCAGAGCCCTGCGCACGCGTTCGCAGCAGTTGACTAGTGCTATACAGCACTACACCCGCTGCCCCGACGTCGTCTCGAGCCTCGCGTCTCCCGTGTCTGCTGGTCTCAAGAACCTCGGGCTCACCTGCTACATTAACGCGGTGCTCCACAGTCTCGCACACACCGACTTTCGCTCCAAAGCCTCTGACGAGCACGACAATGCGTTTGCCATGGCCCTCGCCGACGTGCTCACTGCTATCCGCAACGGCGACACGTCGTGGATCGGCGACGACCATCCCGTTCTCGCGTTCCATATCGGCCACCAAGAAGACGTGCGCGAGTACTACGACTGGCTTCTCGACCAGCTCGAGTCCACATCGGTCCCGGTAGCGGTCATGCTTTATCACGACGTGACCTTGACGTGCGTCACGTGCAACGACGCGCGTTCCAACACGGAACACATATATGTCCTCGCCTTGACGCTCGAGTCGGCGTCGGGCTCCGTCGCCAACGCGCTCGCCGAGCAGTATCCCGCGGGGGGCGTAGAGTCGACGGAAAAAGTGGATTGCGGAACGTGCAAGGTGAAGGTGCAAAACCACACGTCCCGCGAACGCGTGCTCTTGTCGCCGCAGGTGCTCGTCGTCGACCTGCTCCGCTTCAACGCCACTACGAAGCTCCGCCACAAGGTCATCAACGACCACGAGATCATGTTCAACGAGGCATCGTACGAGCTCGTGGCCGTGGTCGTTCACTTGGGCGAGTTCACGGCAGGTGGGCATTACGTCGCCTACGTGCGCACTCATCCGAACGAGTGGTACCTCATGGACGACAACAAGCCGCTCAAGTGGGTGTTGCCGGACGAAATTGAGAAGCTCGAAGGGTACTTGCTGTTCTACCAGTGCAAGGTCGTCCCGGTGGCGAACGCGCCCGTCAGCAGCCTCGTCACCTCGATCGACAGCAACAAGGACGGCGACAAGGATGACGACGACATGGACGGCGGCAGCGATGACGACACTCGTCACCCCGCCAAGCGCACCACACCGCCGACGAGCGACGCACAGCCGTTGATGTGAGTACATCCAATGTGCTCCAGTGCAGTCATGACCGCTTTCGTAGCAACAATGCTCTCCGGAACAACGACGAGATCGACTACGAATGGGATGCGCCGTCGTTGGACAGTCGCGACGGCGACAAGGACGACGACGACATGGACGGCGGCAGCGATGACGACACTCGTCACCCCGCCAAGCGCACCACACCGCCGACGAACGACGCACAGCCGTTGATGTGAGTACATCCAATGTGCTCCAGTGCGGTCATGACCGCTTTCGTAGCAACAATGCTCTCCGGAACAACGACGAGATCGACTACGAATGGGATGCGCCGTCGTTGGACAGTCCCGAGCCGTCGTCTTCAGCTGCGAGAAGTCCGGAGAGCGCTGGAACGCCGAGCTCTGGGTCATCCGTCGCGTCGCCTTTGGACCGCGCCGACGTGCTCGAGGACGTTCGTGATATCTTTGCGAGCTTTGGACCGGTCGTCAACGAGCACAACCGCAAGATCCAAGAAGAGGTCACCGCACGCCTGACCGACGCGGACGCTTCCGACCCAGAGATGGCGTTACCCAGCGACTTGGGAGCTGCGCGGGGCGAGGTAGCATGGCTGCGCCAGCATGAGATCTGCTCCAACTTTATTGGTATGGCGTTCTGCTTGGCGTCTGCCATTGTCCAGGACCCGGACGTCAGCGACAAGATGGTCGCCGAGCTCCGAGGCCAACTCAGACTTGTCGGTGTGGCCGACTTGCAGACGGACCCAGCACGCATTGCTCTCGTGCTCCAAGACGTGTTTCTCACCGCCAACTTCGTCATGTTGCGACGGCCCGTCGTCGACGACACGCTGCGAAGCGAAATCAAGGAGCGGCAGAAGCGCTCATGGCTCGTCAACACCACACAACCGCGGCTCTGGCCGCCGAGTACGGCAACGCTGGAGGGTGTGCCTTCTCATGCCCGGAAGATGCAAACGACCAAAAAGAAGCACTGGGTCCGAACGGCCGTACTCAGGGTACACGCACTGCTTGTTGCGCTCCATGGTTCTACCAGGACATATTGTGTAGACAACGGCCCCGATGGTGCCGAATTCGCTGTTCGTGCTGCCGCATCGTCTCGATCCCGACGAGCTCGGCTGGCACTTTCCGTCGCTCACGGACGACTTTGTCGACGGAGTCGCGGCCGTCTTCATCTACAAGTTTGACGAGTACTTGGGCGACGTGATTGTCGACGACGGCACGAAGTCATCGGCGGCGGGCTTTCCGATCGAATTCATTCCGAAGAAGAATCCCACGCTCACGGCGTACCTCGTGCCTCGCTTCTTGCGGGCCATTCGAATGGCTCGAGCAACGCGGCGATCGGTGGCGCCGATTGCCGACTTGGAAATCTGCGCCTACGAGTTGCTCAACCAACTCGAAGACGCTGTCTTCGAATGGTGGGATTGCGTCAAGCACAAAAAGAGACGCTCACGGTGCGCGATGAGAACGCCCTTTTGTCTGCCCTCTTTCGCCGCAGCGGCGTCAACATGAAGAATATGGACCTCTCGTGGTTCGGCCGCGCGGACGCCACCTACTTTTGCGCTCCCACATGGATATCGTTCCCCAATTACGCGTGCACCGTGCTCGGTTGCCGAAAGTTGGGCCAATACACCCATGAGGGCACGTATGCTTGTACCAGACACCGTCCAGAAACTCCGGATGACGCTGCAGCGAGCGATGAAGAAGAGCTGTGGCACGATGCACAACCAGCTCGACGAATGACGCGCAGTCGATCCAAGATGGACGAGTTGTCGTAGGCGCTTCTTGCAGCACAATCAAAAACTAATCGTCACTCTTGCAGATTGTGTGCATCATGTGTAGTACAGTCAGTATTCGCCCCGGAATAGCCAACGAGCGGCGTCGCGAACGCCGTGCGCATTGAGTTCTACTGCCAAAGACTAAGCCAAGATCCGACGGAGTCTCTTCTGCAACTGGAATTGCACCGCTTTGCGCCACCACGCGGCGACTCCCGACGCCGACACTCCTTCGCACTACCGTACATTGTCAACGAGCTCAAACGTCCCTTGCCCAAACGTTTGCGTCGGTCACACTCGGAAAGCCACTCAAATCGTCAGTTGCGTCCCCTCTCTGCATTGCCCGACCCGACGTCCCGTCCCAGTGGTGCATGTAGCAAGAGATCGAAGCAAAAATCACGTGTGGAGTCAGTCAGTCGCATGGATGGATGGAATCGGCATGCAATCGACAGCGTGGCAACGATCTCGACTCAAACCAAGCTCAAGTTGCGTGGCTTTGGTAAATACCACGTTTTTTGCACGCCTGGACGCGATTTCGCACTATAGCGCCGAGTATCGATCCAGCGTGCGTGCATGAGATAAAGCACCATTCCCACCCATGATTCCCACCCCATGGGAAATCCAGCCTGGATTTCCCTGGATTCTGAAATTGCCTGGATTATCCAGGCAATTTCAGAATCCAAAGCTCAGCGGCCTCTACGACCGCTTTCATGCCGCCTTGGTCGCCAAGATGGAGGCAGCAGCGCCCAAGCGCTTCCGTTTCCCTCGTAAGAGAAAGGGTGGCAATCCACATTTGTCCGTCAAGCCCTCGCCTCCGGTCCAGTTCCCGTGGGAACTCTCCTGAATTATCTTCAACACGATGACCTTTTCAATTTCTTCTCTTGTCGACAGCATGAACCATTGATATCGAGTGATCCTTTGCACAAAGAGGCCTGTCCAGTGGCCCGGTTCGCCTGCGTCGCTGCGTCATGCTGTGACGTTGCAGTCAACGTGCGTGTGGTTGGCCTTTCTGTACCTCGCTCCAGCGTGTCAAACCGACGTCACGGACGTTGTATTTTGTCCAAGGATTGACTGTAGTACATGTCGGAACTGCTAGAGTCCGTACAGGCGCACAAAGGCAGAGACTTGTGGCTTCAGAGGCAAAATGTAAAGTGTATTGGGTTCATTATGTAAACTGGATAATCCAGTGGTGCAACTACGATCGTTGCACACTATCCAGACGTAGCCGATGCGCGATAGGATAGGAATCCTAACACCCCCCTCAAGCTCGACTTCCTTGGCGAGGTCGAGCATGACCTTGGAGCGAGAGGCGTCGTACACATGGACTTGGGCGAGAGCGCGCTCGAGCGATTCGGCCGGAAGCGCCTTGGTGAAGCAGTCGGCAGGCATGTCGCCGGACTTGCAATACTGCGCCTTGATGCGGCCGGCTTGAACGGCGTCGCGTACGTAGTGGTAGCGGATGTCAATGTGCTTGGAGCGACTTGTCGTCGACGGGTTTTCCATCGTCTTGAGCGCGCTCTGGTTGTCACACCAGAGGTTGACACACGCGGTCTTGGGCACGAGCTTGGCTTGCTCGAGCAAAGTCTTCAGCCACGCGGCTTCTTGCGTCGCGATGCTGGCGGCAACGTACTCGGCTTCCATCGTCGAGAGAGCCACTGTCGCTTGCTGCTTCGAGTACCAGTGGACGGGTGCGCCGTTGATCTGGACGAGGCAGCCGGACGTTGAGCGTCGGTTGGTCTTGTTGCCGGCCCAGTCGGCATCCGAGTAGATGTCGAGCGAGAGCGGACCGGTCGACTGGCGCGGCGCGAGCTCTAGACCGTACGTGCGTGTCGCCTTGAGGTAGCGCAAAATGCGGCGCAGCTGGCTGCCGTGATGCTCGTTGGGCGCGTTGAGGTGGCGCGCCATGAGGTTCGTCGCGTACGCAATGTCGGGGCGCGTACAGCTAGCGAGCCAAAGGAGCGAGCCTACAATCTCGCGCATCTGGGAGACCGGCATGTCGCACGGGCCGCCATCTTGAAAGATCTTGTGGTCGAGCGCGAGCGGCGTCGACTGCGGGTGGCAGTCGGACATCTTGTGCTTGGCGAGCAACTCGTCAATGAGGTATGTCTGTTCAAGGAACATGCCGGACTTGGAGCGGTGCACGTTGATGCCGAGGCAGCGCTTGATCGGGCCGAGCGTCTTGATGTTGAACTTGGCCTTGAGCGTCGCGAGCACCTTGGCGAAAACAGCAGCGTCTTGCGAGATCGCGATGACGTCGTCGACGTAGAGGCCGATCATGGTCAACCCGTTGGCCGTCCACATGTAATAGAGGCATGGGTCGACGGGGGACGTCGTGAAACCGAGGCCGCGGAGCACCTTGTCGATCGCTTCGTTCCACATGCGACCGGACTGCTTGAGACCGTAAAGGCTCTTGAGGAGCAGTAGAACTTGAGTCTTCGGGTCGCCGTGGACGAGTGCGGGTAGCGTCATGTAGATCGGCTTGTCGAGGTATGCCTTGACATACGCTTGAGGCACGTCGAGGTGGATCACTTGGAGGCCGAGAGTCGTGGCGATAACGAGGATGACGCGCACCGACGGCTGGCGAATGACTGGCGAGAAGGTCTCCGTAAAGTCGATGCCGTACTTCTGCGTGAAGCCCTTGGCGACGAGGCGCGCCTTGTAGCGCTCGATGTCACCCTTGGAGTCGAACTTGATCTTGAAGACCCATCGGTGGCCGACGATGTTGGCGCCGGGTGGACGCGTGACGAGTTCCCACGTGCCGTTCTCAATGAGGCTGTTGATCTCGTCCTTCATCGCGGCTTCCCACTGCTTGGCGTCCTTGGACGAGAGTGCATCGCGCGCCGTGCGTGGCTCGGGAGACTTGAGCGTCATGAACGCTAGAGCGGTGCCGTCTGCTTGCTTCTCGAGCAGTCGTAGCGACTTGCGGATCGCGTGGCGGACGGGCGCGGTCGCGTCATGCTGGCGCGTGATCTCCGTCAAGTGCGTCTTCGGGACGGTGGCCGGCGTCGGGCGCTCGAACGTCATGTCGTCGCGCAGTTGCAGACCTTGGACGTTCTTGGGCAACGGCATCCCGATGTTCTGCACGTTGCGGGACGTGACGACGCGGTAGAGGTTCGGCACCCAGACGTCGTAAGCCTTGGTCTCTGTGTTGACGCCGAGGATGCGACCGACCGCCGCCGCCGGGGGGACCGCCGCCGTGTGGCACACCACCGCCACCAGAAGGGACGGGAGGCGGCACGGGAGGGGAGGCTGGCGTATCAGCGTAGGCGTGACCAGCCATCCACGAGTTGTCGTGCGGTGGAGACGGTGCAGGCGCGGGCGCGTATGTCGGTGTCGCGGCTTGGACATGAACGGCAAGGAGAGCATTGTGTGCCTTGGTGAGCTCGGCTTCGAGGTCACGGCAATCTTGGTCCAGGCCGTGCAACTCGCTTGCGTGTTGCGAGCGCGCGAGGTTGAGGTCCTTCTCGAGCTGAAGAGCGGCCGCCACGGCGGCGTCACGTGCATGTTGAGCAGCGACAGCGTCACCCCGAGCAGCATCGCGTTCGGCCTGCATTTGACGGTAAGCGTTCTGGCTCGTAGTGAGTTGAGCTTGAAGAAGACGAGTTTCAGAAACATGAGCGGCATCGCGGTCTTGATCAGACGAAGACGCCATGGCGACCGCGGCATCACGGGCTGCGTTGGCTTGTTGCAGGTCACGTTGAGCTTCAGCGATAGCTGCGTCACGCTCTTGCTTCACCTTAGCGGCATAGCCGCACGCATTGGCACGTTGTACTTCAGTGACCTGCAAGGCTTGCTGAGTAGCGGCAAGGTCGGCGTTGACGGCTTGGCGCGCCGTTTCGGAGGCTGCAAGACGTGAGTCGAGGTCTTCGAGTGAGTCGTTGATGGTCGCGATCGTACGGGTCGAGGACGCGAGTTCTTGTTGAATGGCGTCCCGCTCGAGCGATACGACATGTAGCTTGCGTGCGTAAGCACGGTGCTCTTCGTTGATCTGTGTCATTGATCGTGCGTGTTGTTCGAGCATGGCCTGCACGCGGAGTTGAACTTCGTGGTCAATGATCGCGCGGATGGTCGCGTCATCGTACACGGGCGCGGGTGGCACTGGGCTTGGCATGGCCTCTTGATCGTCTTGGACATCTTGAACGTCTTGGGCGTCTTGAACGTCTTGATCGTCTTGATCGGGCGTCGCGTCGCGTGGGACGGGCGCAGGCGACGGCATCGTGGTGTCGTCGTCGTCATTCGTAGCAGGTTCGTCACGTGGATCCGTATCACTTGGTGCGGTGGACGTCGCTGCCGATCGCTCCGGCCAGACCGGCGACACCTCGTCTTCGAACTCGTCCGGAATGATGGTCGGAGTCGGTAACGGTATGCGGCCAAGCGGTAAGTGGTCGGGCGTAAAGTCCTGCGACGGGGCACGTTTGCGCGGGCTTGTCGGGACGGGAGACATGTTCGTGGTCTGCTGTGCGTGGACAGCAAGCTTGTTCTTCGTGTCAATGGCACGGTTGGCGGTAAAGGCCAACTTGAAGTCCGCCTTGCGGTCTTCCTTGGGTACCTTGGTCGAGTGGCCCGCGGTCGACTCTGGCTGCGGCCCATGGAGATCGATCATCCTTGAGAGGGCTGGCGCAGTGTTCGTACTAGACACGCTGGGACTTGGGCTGGACGTTGTTGTCGAGCTCGCACTTTCGAAAGTGAGCATCGCTGTGGAGCGTTTTGCTGCTTGTGCGATGGGGCGCATAGATGGGTCGTCCTTGATGTTGCTAACGTTTGTCAACACGCGCGCGTCGTCGTGTGCGTCGTGTGCTTGTAGCTGTCGGGTCACTCGCGCTGTGGGCGCGTCGTGTGCTTGTAGCTGTTGGGGCACTCGCGCTGTAGATCCAGTCGACAGTTGCACCATTTTGGCCGGCGTGTTGAGCGACGGCGTCAATCTGGTCGGGGTGTCGGGCGACGGCTTGAGTGCGCCGCGCGTGGAGCCGCGAGTGTGGACGAGTGTGGGGACGTGCCGCTCGGCAAATGAGGCTGGCGACGTCGTGCGCATGTGGTGTTGAATGCTGCCGTTGTGTGCTGCACGAGGGAGCAATTCCTTCCTTGGGCTCATAACCTGTCGGAACTGCTAGAGTCCGTACAGGCGCACAAAGGCAGAGACTTGTGGCTTCAGAGGCAAAATGTAAAGTGTATTGGGTTCATTATGTAAACTGGATAATCCAGTGGTGCAACTACGATCGTTGCACACTATCCAGACGTAGCCGATGCGCGATAGGATAGGAATCCTAACAGTACATTTGACGCCTGCATAATGTCGTCGCCAGAAACCGTGATGTTTGCGAGATGGAAGCAATAGGATTTATCACTAGAATGTGGCGCCGTTCACAAGCCGCAACAAGGACATTCGGGACGTCGTTGCCTTGATCCAAGAAGGGCGCTGTGCGCTCACCACGTCTCTCCTCGCGTTCAAGTACATGGTCATGTACCCCGTGATCGAGACGACGCTCATCACGGTCATCAACCACGTTCAAGCCACGTTCTCCAACAACCAAGTAGTCTTCTTTGCTGCTCGCATTTGTCATCTTATGGGGCCTAGTACCTCTTCGACGACCTTGTTGTCGTGCTCGGACCAGGGGTACTATTATGTACCCCTGTGTCAACCATAATCTTTTAGTGTCAACCATATTCTTTGAAGGGTTTGAGAGTCGTACAAAGAGCGAGTCGGGCGGACGCTCCCGCGTCAAAATCGCAGATGGACCCGTGCGCAGCATGAGCACCGAGAGTCCGAGCCAGGGGTACATAATAGTTTTATGTACCCCTGGGTTGACAGTGAAGCGTAGGCGCCAGCGGTCCTGGGTTCGATCGCGGGCCAGACAGCCCTTTTTGGTCTCTTTTTTGCGCTGCCGCTCTGGCTCGCGCACTCGCAAGACTGGTTCTGCGCGCCGCCAGACGTCGCGTCGGGCCGAAAGCCGTGCTTTGCCTACCAGCCCGACGAGTCGGGCGACATGACGGTGCACGCGCACGAAGTGTCGATCGTCTGGACCACGGGTGCAGCTCCCGAGTCCCAACTGCAGACTTAAAGGTGTGTCGTCGTAGGTCATCTTCAGTACCTCCTCCTGGCCATCGCCTTCAACTTGAAGGACCCTTTCCGCAAAAGCGTCTGGACCAACGCATCGTTCGTGCTCTACACCCTCGGGATGACTGTGCTCCTCTCGTACATTCTGCTTTCGCCAGGTAGCTCCTCCGAGCCCGAATGGATGCTGAGATGAAGCGTAGAAAGCGATCTCAATATGGCGTGGCTCGACCTCACGACACCGCTACCCCCAACGTTCTGCCGCCAAGTCTTCGGCATCTGTGTCCAACGAAGGATTGGTACAAATCGACGATGCAGGTCCGTGGCCCCTTGTCCGTCGTGGGCGCAGGTCGGCGGCGCATGGTCGTTGGCGCATGAGCGTGGGAGGGAACGAACGCGAGGTCCCGTCCAGCGGCGCGACGGTCGCTTCGGCCAGCCCCGCGATCGGCGTGCGCGCAACGTCCGTGGCCGCTCAACCTCGACAGCTGACTTTTTTGATGACACGCCGACTGCGGGTTCCAAACTATTTTATTAAAATTACGCATACATTCTCTCGGATGATCGGTTGACCTTGATATTTGTATTGAACCATCGTAGGTACCTCTCTCTGCGTTCAAGGCAGCTTTAGGGCCGCTTCTTGCTACACCTGATCAACCTTGCTAGTGAGCTCATGCTGCTCGAGAGCAGGGCGCTCCTACGCCTCATTTCGCTCATATTGCTCGGGTTCAATGTGCGTACGATACGGTATTGTACGTCGTTTAACGCGATCTTTGTATGCATACGTACTGTACAGTACGCAAAATATGCGTACATTAGCTCGAAAGCTCTCCTCAAGTACCGGACATCCGGATGCTAGGCCGCGGTCGCCAGCACAGATCTCATTCTGGAATCTGTCGGGCGTGCAAGACCATGTCCTCCGCGCCAACGACGCACGGGATGCCACGTCAAGCCGTGGTGACAGCGCCGCCCATCCCCGACAAGGGGAAGCGCAAGGCCGCGCCGGAACGAAAACCAGCTCCATTGTCCCGCACGCCGAAGCCAACGCCGATGCCAACGCAGCGCGAACCAGCGCCGCTCATCCTCGACAAGGGGAAGCGCAAGGCCGCGCCGGAACGAAAACCAGCGTGGTGGGAGGACGCGCCGACCGAGTCTGAAGACGACGATGACGAAGACCTCGACGAGCGGCTCGGCGGCAACACGAAGCGAGCGCGCCGTGACGAGGCGCCGGGAAGCACCTCGCACCGGTTCACGAAAGAGGCGCGGGCGTTGCGGACGAAACACGACTCGCGCGGGTCGGGCGAGCCGATGCATGAGAAGCCGCGCAACTTGGATACGGTAGCGTATCCCCAATGGTGAATCCTACAATCACCATGACATTTCCTTATGGCATAGGGACGCAAGGGCAACTTGGCGGTCCGCCCAAAGCTCGTGTACAAGGAGTCATTCACCCTCGGCGTCGGAGTTGGCCTCTTCGCGGAGGAAAGCGTGAGCGCGGGCGAGGTCGTGGCACTGCCCTTCGAGGCGCAGCCCGTCGATCGCGTCACGCCTGGGCACCCGGCAACTCGCTCAACAGAGCGGGCCACAAAGAACGCAGCGCAAACGGTACTTGCTTCCTCCGACGTCTCGGTGGCCACAGGGCCCATCGCGTCTGCTGCTGTCCCGACAAAACAGGCAGCAAAGCGACGTCTCAAGGACGCCGAGCAGCGCCGAAAGCAAGGTGCTCCGATGATTGAAGTGCGCGAAAGCTTCACGGACGTGGGGACGTACTTCAAGGTCAAGGGCGACCAGACCAAGTTTCTCGTCGACGAGTGGCTTGTCCACATGCTTGATGCAGACGCTGGTCTTACGGAGCTCCCTACGACGACGAGCGATGCGCTCATCGTCGTGCTGCAGGCGCTCTACGAGCTCGACGAGCTCGCGCAGGTTGTCGCGGACAGCGACCTCTCGGCGCACATCCTCGAGCTTTGGGAGACGCTGCACCAGGAGAGCCGAGGCAACGTGACGAACACGCAGCTCGACACGACGACGAGCTTCCCCAACCTCGTCCTCGCTCGCGGCGGTGCTCACGCGCACTTCGCCGCGCTCGTCAAGAAGGGCAAGTATCATGAACCCATCAAGGTCGCCTTCTCGGGCACTCGAGACGTCGCGCGCCTTGCCATGGCAACCGTCGTCTCCAATGTCGGTGTCGAGGTCTTCGAGACGCCGATCGGGACAGACGACACCGGCCATGGTCCCGTGCACGTGGTCGCCGACGCTCCGCTCTTTAGCGCCATCTTGCGCAAGGCAGCCGACGCCGGTCTTCTCCAGGACCTTCCGCGACGCATTCAAGCCGCGCTCATGAGAAGCGATGTCGTCCTACCCGACGTCAACCTCTGGACTGGCGGTATTGCGCAGGTGCAACATCTCGCGTACACGCCTTTCCGCACCGGACGCCGCGCCATCACGACGAGCGAGGTCGAGGCCTACGAAGCTGCCCTGGGCGCGAAGAAGACTCGCTTCAATTGGTATTAATTGACAACATGCAATCTTGTGCTTTCGACTCCGTTGTGCTTGGGCGCGTCGCTTGACGTAGGTGGTGGCCGCCGACAGAGCTGTCATCAGGACAAGAAGCTGGCTTTGGACTCGACCAAGTGCTGGGCGGCAAACGTAAAGAGGTGCTAGTGCAATCGCATTGGAGCATGACGCCGCATCAAGGTGCCTGATCTCAGCGAGCGGAGTGGCGTCGACGTGGTCGCGGTTGAGGCCGGCGCAAGTCGTACCCCGTTGGGTATGGTGTTGCATCATCCACTTGGTCGTATATCTGAGCTAGCCGGTCCTCGGCGGCCTCTGCCCGGCGCTCAACAAGGCGCACTTGCTCCTCACGAAGGCTCACCGCCAAAGTCGCTGCTGCCTCGACCTGCTGTAGCGCCGCGTCGATCGTCCGCTGCAGTTGGGCAATCATTGCCACAGCTTGTTGGTCGCCTGGTTGACATTGTCAGCAAGATTCGCGAGGACTCAAGCCCAGAAGATCCCAAGCCGTGTAGGTAGTGCAAGGGCTTAAGCTCTAGCATCGGAGCTGGCACGAACTCTTTTAGAGGACGTACCGGGTCTCGTTCGCGGGTCTGAGCTTGACTGTACTACTGCACGCGGTGGTACTACCAAGGCCATTGGTACTACTGACAGGAGATGGTTCGCTCTCTTCTCGTCGCCGTCATCATGCAGAATATGTCGTGGGCAGCATCCAGTGTCTTGGAGCAGCCAGTGGATAGGTCGTACAATCGCTGGCGGTTTGACGGAGGAAAGATCGCGATCAAAAAATGTTGGCGCGCTCTGATTGGCTGACATCCTGGCGTAAAAATGGGTCCCACCGCCGTGCCATTGGCAAAGTGCCATGGACGCAGAGGTCGCGCGGCTGACGGCCGATGCTGCCGCCAAGGAGGCCAGCCTCAACGAGGTCAAGACCAAGACCAAGGCCTTCGCCGAGGCCATGACCTCCGAGAAGAAGCAGCTCGAAGCCTCGCTCGCGGCCGCCAAGGCCGAGCTCGCCGACATCAAGGTCAAGGCCAAGGCCTTCGCCGACAACGTCCGCGCCCAAATCGTGGCCGAGAAGGACCGCGTGCATGCTCTCGAGTCGCAGGTGCAGGCCAAGGAAGCTAAGCTCGTGACGCTCATGTCAAAGTATGCAACCACTACCGACTGCCACGTCATTCGGTGTTGCTACGGAATCGGTGTCGACCAATAGGACGCCGTTTCTATTGGAAAAGGCGAAAATCGTCGAAAGTGAGGCATTTTGATGCACGATAAATAATTTGGTTGTCAATACGTAAGAAGCCGCGCGAGATGCTGACATGTGCAATTGAAGTGTGAAAGTGCATGTATACATGTATAAATTTGGGAGTAGAATCGAATATAGTGGGTATTTTGGGCGCATTTTTGACAGTGTTGAGTTTGAGAAGGTGTAGGATTGGTCTATTGCACAACTAGAAAATAATAAGGTAGTGAGAAGGTATAATTTGAGTAAAAGGAAAGGTTAGTGTGTAGTACGCCATATTTGATACAAGTATACAAAGGGGATGTAGCTCAGTGTCAATCGGGATGTGTATTACCAACTTATATAATAGCTAGTCGTACTAATATTGGTCGCAAGCAACCTCACCCGTTCCTTTGCCTGAAGCGTGGACGCTCGTGGCAGGGAAACACTTGTTTGGAGTCAGTGGATAAATAGTGGCACGTCGTGAGGTGATCGTGGCCGACGGGCCGCGGACCGTGGGACGTGCGTGGGACATAAATACGCGGCAATAAATAGGCGCGCGGCGAACGGGACGCGACCGAGCAGACTACCCGGCAGCGAACGACGGCGCGAGCTGGAGACAGCGCGGGTACTTGGCGGCGAGCGCTTGGTACCCTGGTTGATCGAGGAGGACGCGGACCGCTGCGAGGACGGCGGCGCGCTCGGGGCAGTCGGGGTCTTGAAGACGGAGCCAGCGACGCACCGACAACATCCAACCGACGAAGGACGTGTCGTGCCATACGTGCGCCGGGAGCGCCGCCTTGTTGGAGTACTGGACGTCGTTGTGCTGGACCCAGATGAGGCCGAGCACCGCCGCCGCGAGGAGGGACCAGAGCACGCGCAGCGCATCTTCATGACGGGCGCCGCGGGCGTTGAGCGGGAAGGTATCCAGGTCCGAAAGCGACGCCCACGAGAAGGGCACGCCAAAGCACCGCCACGCTTGCGCATGGAAGGCCCAGACTTGGTTGACGACCTCACAATCGTGGAACGCATGCTGCTGCGTCTCGATGGCGCCGCAGCCGTACGTACAGCAAATCGCGTCCGGGCGCTCGCGCTGCAGGTACGGGAAGCGCGAGTTGACGGGGAGCATCTTGAGGAGCAGCCGCATCCAGACGTCGCCCTGCACCGGCGTCGCGAGACGACACGTGCGTCGGCCGACGCATGTAGCGCCGGAGCTCGGGGAGATCGACACGCGCGTCAGTCGCCATCGGGTGAACCGTCGCATCGGTGGTGGGGCCTTGTTGCGCGAGCTGAGCAATCTTGGCTCGCGGCCAGTCTTCGAACGGTACGGCGCGATCCTTGACCATGCCGTAGAACGGGTGCCGTGTCGCCGGGGCGCGCCGCTCCGCCGCGGGCGTCCGAGCAAAGGCTTCTTGGACACGGCCGTGCACACGCGTGAGGTGCAAATACATGGACCCCGCGTACCGGACGTGATCGAGCGCCACCCGACCGCGCGCATCCAGGCGCACGCGCGCCTCGACGTTGGCGTTGGACAGCTTGCGGAGGAACTCGGCGCGCGGCGGCCACACTTCGCGCGGCAGCAACATGTCGCGGAGGCAGCGGTGCCCGTTGGCCGCGGCACTAAGGCACCACGCGCGCGTCTCGGGCTCTTGGTTGACTTGGAGGGTTCGCACGCCGTGGGCGGTGAGCGGCTCGTACAACGTGAGCCATACGGGCATCTCCATCGTCGTCGCGTAGTTGGGAGCGACTTCGATCCGCTTGTCCATGGGCGTCGAGGACCATGCGGCCCAAATCGACTCCCACAGCGGGTGCAAGGTCGTGAGGTCGATCCACAGCGTCTCCATCGCCGGCCGATAGGACAGAAAGTCCCACGGGTGCGTGGCGCGAAAGAGCGGCCCCAGCGTGCGCTCAAACTGCTTGAGGACGAGCGGCTGCCACAGCTGCGAGTCGGCCGTCGGACCGCGCATGAGGTCTTGGAGGCGGCGCAGTCGCTGCGCGCGAATGATCGACTGGACGTGCGGCACGCCAAGCCCCAACGGCTTGTCGTGGTACCAGCGTCGCGCCAGCAGAGGCCGGTAGCGGTCGCCGCGCTCTGTCTTGCGACACACGACGTACTTGGTGATCATGGACTGCCAGAGGTTGATCATGGCGCCGGGGACCGTTGTCACTGCCGTGACATGCCAGAGCAACGAGAGCAGCACCGTGTTGGCGATCAATCGCCGGCCTTGCAGCGTGCGGGCACGGCATCCCCACGTCTGGAACGCTTCCAGGAAGCGCTCGTTGAGGCGGGCAATCTGGTACTCGGGCGCCAGCGCATGGCCAAACTCGATACCAAGGTATTTGACCGGCACACCCGTCGGCAGGATGTTGAGCACGCCGGCGCCGTCGAGCGCTGCCGGGTCGATCAACTGGTTGAGCACCAAGGTCTTGCACTTGGCTTGGTTGAGGCGTGCTCCGGACACGGCGCAGAATTCCTCGACGATCGCCAGCTGCTCCACAGCCGACGGCAAGTCGTACGAGATGAGCGTCGAGTCGTCGGCAAAAAACATGCTCGTGATGGAGTCGCCGCCGGGCAGCGCCACCCCGAGATGCGGCAGCTCGCGCAGCATGTCGCCCAGCGGCTCAATGTAGAGCACGAAGAGGAGGCACGACAACGGGCAGCCTTGCTTGACGCCACGCGTAGGACGGATCGGCGGACCCAGCGCCCCGTCAAAGACGAGGTGGACCATGGGCGAGCGGTAGAGCAGCCGGACCCACCCTAGAAAGCCCGGTCCGACGTTCATCTCGTCGAGAACGTCCAGCATAAACCCGCGGTCGACCATGTCGTACGCCTTGGAGAAATCGAGGAACGTCGCGTAGGCCTCCTTGTCTTCCGACGTGCAGTGCTGCTGGAGCGCCTGCACCAGCACGACATGATCGTGCAATCGTCGGCCGGGCACAAACCCCGCCTGCGTCGGGTGGACAAGCTTCGGCGCGTACTTGGCCAGCCGGTACGCGAGCGCGCGCGAGAGAATCTTGACTTCGACGGCCATGAGCGCGATCGGCCGGTAATTGCCCGGGTCACCGCGGTCGCCCGCCTTGTACAAGAGTGTGATGGCACTACGGCGCTGCATAGGCAGGAGTCGCCCGTGGTGTGCAAGCTGGTAGTTGAAGACCAGCAGCAGGATCTCCGAGAAGACCTGCGGCGCAACCTGGAAGAAGCCAGCCGACCACCCGTCAGGACCCGGCGACTTGGACGGGTTCATGCCGCGTAGCGCATCGCAGAGCTCGGCGGCCGTAAGCGGACTGTCGAGCTGGTCCCGCTCGGCATCCGACAGCCGCTTCTTGAGATACCGGAGGACGGCTCGACGGCGCGCGCGGTTGGGGCCGGGCGCGTCGCGTGGAGTCGACATGACTTGGCGCCAGTGCTCCGTGAACGAGGCTTGCACCGTCGCCGAGTCGGAGACCGGCACGCCGTCCACGTTGACCGTCGTGATCGAGGCCTTTGTTCCCATTGGCCGACGGAAAAAGTGGGACGAGCCATGTTCGTTGACGTTGGCATGGAAGTCAAACTGCTGGTCGAGCAAATGTTGGTTTTGCTCTTCCACGGCCAAGTCGACGGCCGCCTGCGCCGCAGCGACCGCGCCTGCGCCGGCGCCAGACCATGCGTGATCTCGCTGCGCCACCGCGAGTCGCACTTTGAGGTATTGGAGATGCTCAGCCGACGCCGCCTGGTGGACCTTGTGGCGTTCGATGAGCGTCTTCTTCATGCGCTTGAGCCACCCAAACCACATCGCGCCATGGTTCCCGTCGGGCGCGCCCCGCAGGTGGTCGAGAAAGGCCTGGGCTTCGGTCGCGATCAGATCGACAACGGCCGGTACCCGGAGCAGCTCGCGCGGAAAGCGCCAGTATCCCCGCCGCGTCGGCAGAGGGTGCCGCGACAGCGTCACCGTGTGGCAGAGGTGGTCGCCACCATGCGCGTTCGGGAGGTACTGCGCCGCTGCGCAGAACTCGGCGGCCAACGCGTGGTCCATGCAGACGTAATCGAGACGGTTGTGCCGCCCCGGACCGCTGAAGACGCGAGCATATGGGTGCATGATGCGCCACGCGTCCACGACACGGAGCGCCGTGAGCCATTCGACGCACTCGTGCGCACCGGCGCGGCTACCGGGCTGGGCGCGGGACGCATCGAGGGCTGAGTTCATGTAGAGGTTGAAATCGCCGCCGACAAGATGCAGACTCGCTGCTTCAAAGTCGCGCGGCAGACCGGCAAAGAACGCGCGACGACGGTGAGCCACCACTGGCGCATAGACGTTGTGCACGTAGACCGGCGTGCCACCCCAGACCGTACGGGCCACCAGGTAGCGGCCAGGTTGGTCGAGAGCGGCAAGGTGCGTGAGGCCGGCAAACCCGGGCCACGAGACGTGAAAGTAGCTGGCGACGCCGGAATGGCGGTGCACGCTAGAGTCCACGGCCTCGGCACGCAGATCGTTGATGAAAATTTTGTACTTGTCGCGGCCCACTTCGTTCGTGAGGTGAATCTGGAACGTCGCGAGCTGCTCGGCATTGTTGAGCTTGAGTTCTTGGAGGAGGAGACACGGCGTCGGGTTAGCGAGCGCCCGCGCGACGAGGTGTCCATTCTCCTTGAGCCCGTTGAGGTTGCATGTTGTGAGGGTCGTACTCGACGCGGCGCCGAGGAGGTCGCGTGCGAGGACCTTAATTCCGAAGGGCAACCGGGGCTCGCACCAGCAGCAGGTCGCCGACAATGAGTCTCGGTTCGTCGTCACGGTTGAACATGACCTGGTCTTCGGCGTCGAACACCGCGTCGTCTTCGTCGTGCGGGACCTTGACGGTCTGGAAGAGCTCGCGCGCTTCGATAAAGACGTCCGAGCGCAGCAGCGTCGCCGCCAGGTCGCGAAGGTGCGTGCCAAGGCCGTTGCTCCGCAAAAGTGCCATGAGCGTGTAGGTGCTCAAACTGCGCACGCCGTCCGCCATCGCGATGACGCTGAGGCCTGAGCCAAGCACGGCCATAAGCGCGGCGTCGGACGTGAAGAACGCCGGTGCGTGGGCCATGAGCAAGATTTCCGTTGTGGCCGCGACAAACTCGAGGTTCACCGCTGCGACCTTCTGGGGCATGTCGTTGGCGTCGCGGAAGGTCCACGACGACAGCTCTTCAACAAACTCCGGCGCGTCTTCAAAGAGCTTGTGGATGGCGTCGCGGGTCATCGCGCGCTGGAAAAAGCGTTCGTAGAGAGCGTCGAGCGACTGGAAAGCACCATGCGACGCGCGCGCCCATCGCAGCAGCATGTACTGGCGCATGAAGAGCATGAACGAGCTCGGGTCGTGCTCGATGAGGTATGTGATGGCACGGGCCGAGCGAAACGGCGCCGCGCCGATCATCCGTCGGGCCTTCTCGACGTCGCCAGATTTCATGACGGCGATGAGCCCGTGGACGTTGTCATCCGCGGCCTTGTACGCGACCTCCTGGCGGTCGCGGATCGCCGGCAGCTGCGCGTTGAGCTCGGCGCACTCGGCCAGGATCGCGTCGAAGGACAGGACCTCCGTCTTCGGCACCTTTGTCGTGACCTTCATGGTGTCGAACGTGGCCGTCGTCACGAGAGCCTTCTCAGCATCGGCCTGGCGCTTGACGATGGGGTAGATGGCCGTCGGCAGTCCGTCGGCGGAGCCGTCGTCGCGGGCCGTCGTGACCGACCAGCGCGACCGCAGCGCCTCATAGGGGTTGGAC